ACTTGATCCTGCAGGCAACACGGAGGCTGTGGAGGGACTCGAGTCTGGGGCTGGGTTAGGCAGCTCAGTGGTGATGAGGCTGGTTCCGTGATTAAGAGTGGCTGTGGGCAGAGGTGGGAGAAGGTGGGGAAGGGGTCCGTTCCTCCTGGTTTCTCTGTCCTCTCCCTGGCTGCTCTTCGATATTTAATCTAGAATGAAAAGGACACTCAGTGCCCCCTCCTAGGCCAAAATGCTAAGTCACTGTGAAAACCTTTCCCCACCACCCCTCAGCTCAGGCCCCTGAGCAGAGATGAGCTCTATCTACTCAGAAAAGACAAAGGAAGGGCTTCTTTTATTCACAGAGAGGGAATTCCCCAGGTCTGTGCAGAGGATTCAGGGAACAATTCCTAAGTGGTGAAGTGGCTGAGTTGGCAGCCCCAAGTTTGTCCCCGCCTCTCATTTTTCCTGGGGGTTATTCTCCGACAGGCTACCCTGTCCCCACTGCACTGCCCCTGCAACTGGTCCTTGGGCAAACCCTCCTGTCCTTGGTTTCTCAAATTCAGAAGGACTCATCTGGGTCTTAAAGGAGAGGAAATGGGCTGGAACCTGAAGACATACACCAGTCCGGGTTTGCAGCTGTCACATCCACCCCTAAGGGCTCAGCCCACTTCTGGTGTGATGGATCTGTGGTTCAGAGACTTTTTCTGGCCTCTACCACCTTCTCCTACCCCAGCTTCTGGCCCACAACCACATAAGGGCCACAACCGTTTTCTTTCTAAATGCAGGAGCTGGCCGCTCTCTGACCAGTCACCACACGGGGCAGAGGTCTGCGCTCTGCTTTGCTATGAGCCAACCCCCTCTGTCCTTGGCCACTCCAGGTAACCGCAGGGGTTACCAAGCCCTCCAGGAAAAGTGCTCCTTAGCTATCCCATCACCACAACCAGTTAGCGTCTCATCTCTTCCCCAGAGGGTCTTTCTCTTATATAAGGTTATTTGGTGCTACTGGTTGGCCAAGGGCTGAGAGCTGGGGTATCTTTTATTGCAGTGAGTTACCAAGACGCAGCAGACTTCCCAGGTGGCTCAGTGGTAAAGAATCCACCTGCTAAGGCAGGAGACACAGGAGATGCAGGTTTGATCCCTAGAGAAGGAAAAGGCAACCCACTCCAGTATTCTTGCCTGGTAGGCAAAGAGTCGGACACCAGTGAGTGACTAAACGACAACAAACCAAGATTCAACAACTGCTTTATGGTGGACTTACAGAAAGGCTTGTTTTGGGAGCATGCAGCCTCCTAGAAATCGCTCTCTATGACGTCCTTCTGAGCAGAGATAAAGAGAGCAGCCACAGTAGAGACATTCACCATGTTGGAGGTTAGGGCTTCCGGGATAGCTCAGCTCGTAAAGAATCCACCTGCAAGGCAGGAGACCCCAGTTCGATTCCTGGGTCGGGAAGATCCACTGGAGAAGGGATAGGCTACCCACTGCAGTATTCCTGGGCTTCCCTGGTGGCTCAGGTGGTAAAGATTCTGCCTGCAGTGCAGGAGACCTGGGTTCGATCCCCAGGATGGGAAGATCCCCTGGAGAAGGGAAAGGCTACCCACCCCAGTACTGTGGCCTGGAGAATTCCTTAGGCTGTATAGTCCATGGGGTGGCAAAGAATTGGACACGACCGAGTGACTTTCACTTACTTACTTACTTATATTGGAGGTTGGTGACACCGGTCGCATTCCCAAAGCACAGGGGTGCAGGCACAGCAATGTTGGAAAATGCCAGGGCGACAGAAATGTTATTGAAGAGGGCTGCCCCTTATTACCTGGGGTGTTCGCTCAGGGATATGAGGCAAGTCTAGCAGGAATGAGCAAGGCATGCTAGACAGACTTGGCATGCAGCTGGGGTAGGGTATTGATGGATGATACAGAGCAGAACAACTAAAGAAGACCCTGGCAGGCCCCATGCCGAGGCACCTCGCCTGTGCCCCAGTGAGAGGTGTTTGTTAGTAAACACCAGAACAGCACTCCTGTGAAGGTCGAATTTTATTTGTGGCTCTCCGTAGATTGGTGCTTAGAGGTAAATATTATAAATCCTTCAATCCGCAGTGTGGACTTAGGTTCAACTGTTCCTTTTGCTGGCTCTCTAACCCTTTTGGGCAGCATGGAGAAACCCCTGAACCAGTGTTAGTTGCTCAGTTGTGTCTGACTCTTTGTGACCCCATGTACTGTAGCCCGCTAGGGTCCTCTGTGCATGGAATTCTCAAGGCAAGAATACTGGAGTGGGTTGCCATTTCTTTTTCCAGGGGATCTTCCCAACCCAGGGATCAAACCCAGGTCTCCTGCATTGCAGGAAGATTCTTTACAATTTGAGCCATCAGGGTGGACTCCAGATCACAATTTCATTTCAAGTGTCTGATTCCCAGGAGTTGAAACCAGGTGAGTGACTTAAGCCTTTAGTATTTGGTATATCAGCCCAAATGGCTAAGATTGCACAACATAAGTACAGAGAATCCGTAGCTATTTCTGCAGGGTGGGGGCAGGACTTGGGGCAGGAGGTCTGCCATGTGATTATGTGCACATGCTGCTCTTTCCCTATTTTCTGCATTGCTGGTCATCCTGTTTTCCCTCAAATAGATTTGATACAGGCTGGTGGCTAGAGTGAGTGAGCCCACAGTGTGGGCTGAGAAGGGTAGCTGAGGGTCAGCAGATGTGATGCTTATGGGGCTTATGGGAGGTGCCGAAGTTTTGTTCGTCTGAACAGGGAATCTTAGTTTGTCCCTTTGGCAAAAGATCTTCAATACAAAGGCTTGCTATGTATTGCCATGTTCAGCCATGCCCAACAGGGTCAGCTCATGTGGCTGAATTCTCCATATTAACTGTTATATGCTGTCTTAGTCATTTGGGCTGATATACAAAATACTAAAGTCTAAGGGACTTAGAAACAAGAGAAATTTATTTCTCACAGTTCTAGAGGGCTCTTAAGTCCTAGATCAGCATGTCGGTAGAACCTGTGTCTGATGAGAGCTTTCTTCCTGGTACATAGATGGTGGAAGGGGCGAGAGAGCTCTGGGGGTCTCTGTTATAAGGACCCTAATCCTATTAATGAGACCTCCACCCTCATGACCTAATAACCTCCCAAAGCCTCCCCCTCTAAATGCCTTGACTTTGAAGGTCAGAATTCAACCTGTGAGTTTGGGGTGACACTGTCAGTCAGTCTATGGCATGTGCTCAGAAGGAGTAAATTCTGTCTAAGTTTAAGAACCTGCCACCAGAGGTCAAATTGCCAACATCTGTTGGATCATAGAGAATTCCAGGAGAATTCAAGAGAATTCCAGGAAAACATCTGCTTCATTGACTATGCTAAAGCCTTTGACTATGTGGATCACAACAAACTGCAGAAAATTCTTAAAGAGATGAGAATACCAGACCACCTTACCTGTCTCCTGAGAAACCTGTATGCAGGTCAAGAAGCAGCAATTAGAACCAGACTTGGAACAACGGACTGGTTCAAAATTGGAAAAGGAGTACATCTGGCTGTATATTGTAACCCTGCCTATTTAACTTCTATGAAGAGTACATCATGCAAAATGTGGGGCTGGACGAATCACAAGCCGGAATCAAGATTGCCAGGAGAAATATCAATAACCTCAGATATGCAGATGATACCACCTTAATGGCAGAAAGTGAAGAGGAACTAAAGAGCCTTTTGATGAAAGTGAAAGAGGAGAGTGAAAAAGTTGGCTTAAAGCTCAACATTCAGAAAACTAAGACCATGGCATCCGGTCCCATTACTTCATATTGCCATATTTGCATAGATGGGAAAAAATGGCAACAGTGACAGATTTTATTTTCTTGGGCTCCAAAATTGTTGTGGATGGTGACTGCAACCACAGAATTAAAAGGCATTTGCTCCTTGGAAGAAAAATTATGAAAAACCTAGATAGCATATTAAAAAGCAGAGAAATCACTTTGCCTATAAAGGTCTGTCTAGTCAAAGCTATGGTTTTTCCAGTAGTCATGTACAGATGTGAGAATTGGACCATAAACAAGGCTGAGCACCAAAGAATTGATGATTTGAACTGTAGTGTTGGAGAAAACTCTTGAGAGTCCCTTGGACAACAAGGAGATCAAACAGATCAATCCTAAAGCAAATCAACCTTGAATATTCACTGGAAGTATTGATGCTGAAGCTGAAGCTCCAGTCCTTTGATCACCTGATGTGAAGAGCTGACTCCCTGGAAAAGACCCTGATGCTGGGAAGGATTGAGGGCAGGAGGAGGAGCAGAGGACGACCGAAGATGAGATGGTTGGATGGCATTGTTGACTCAGTGGACATGAGTTTGAGCAAACTCTGGGAGATAGTGAAGGGCAGGAAAGACTGGTGTGTTACAGTCCATGGGATTGCAAAGAGTCGGACACAACTTAGTGACTGAACAACAACAAAACCAGAGTCTACTTCTTTTTCTTCTGTGTGTTCTGTTTGCCTCTGCTAAGTCAGCAGAAAGCCAGAATATTATTACATAGTCAGTGCTCCCAGTCCCTTTCCCACTCAGTGTGACATTCTTATCCAGTCCCTTAGTAAATAAATGCTGAGGCTTCTCCATGCTGCGAACATCCCTCCGCCCCTTCTTTCCATCTTCTTGCTGGGTGTTTCCTAGCTCTGTGCTTCCTCTTGGCCCATCTCACTTCCTGAAATACCACTGAAGAGCATTGCTTATCTTGATGGAGCTTGGGTAGCCCTGCAGTGGCAGGGGAACTAAGAGCAGCTGCACTTTCTCATTCTGCCACAGAGAACTGTCCTCCCCAGACTTCTGCAAGCTTGGAGATGTGTGGCCTGTGTTAGCCTGTGGTGGAATCTCTCTAAGGAGACTGGGTGCCACCAGAGAAGAGAGAGAATGGGTGAGTTGTGAGTTCTGGATGGTGGCTGCTTACATCTGGACCTCTGGAAGGATGTGTGGCAAGAGCTAGGTGGACTGGCCCACACGGATCTTGTTGGAACACTACTCACGTGGGAGGCTCCTCTTGGAAGACAAGATGCCTGTCAACAGCACTGCTGTGCTCTTGGCCAGCGTTACCTATATCACTGTGGAGATTCTCATCGGGCTCTGCGCCATAGTGGGCAATGTGCTGGTCATCTGGGTGGTCAAACTGAACCCTAGCCTGCAGACCACCACCTTCTATTTCATTGTCTCCCTAGCCCTGGCTGACATTGCTGTTGGGGTGCTGGTTATGCCTTTGGCCATTGTCATCAGCCTGGGTGTCACAATCCACTTTTATAGCTGCCTTCTCATGACCTGCTTGCTGCTGATCTTCACCCACGCATCCATCATGTCCTTGCTAGCCATTGCTGTGGACCGATACCTGCGGGTCAAGCTCACAGTCAGGTAACTTGCCTAAAGAGGAGTGGTGTTGGGTGGTGATAGAAGTGCCTGGTAAATGGAGCTACAAGTCCAGATTCAAGACTTTTTAAGTGGAAACAAATCCAAATTGGCCTCTGAGCTTGAAAGTGGTTCTTTTCACCATTTGATGTGTGAAGGGTTTATCAATGACAAGCAGAGACTTGGAAACAAGGAATGAAGGAATCCTCCAATCCCCCCCCACCCCACTGATACGGGAGTACCTGTTCCATATCCCCTGGGGCAGAGGCTAAAGATGATAAAAACTTGATCCATCTTTAATTAGTGAAAAATGCTCTTGATTATTAGAAATGATAGAAACATGCTAGATGATAAGATAAGCTGAGAGGAAAAAAAATGAGAGATAAACTGATGGTTCTGTCCTTTACAAATGTAGGCTATTTTAAAGTTATTATAATTTTGCTTCCTCTTCCATGATGCGAAGGGGACCAAAAAAGTTCTCCATTGCAGAAAGTAGTAACAATTTTTCGTGTGACCATGTGAACAGAACAGACTGCTGAATGAATAATTCCCCAGGTGTCCTGAATTACACTGGTCTCTTGTTGCTCCTCTCTTCTCTTGGGGAAAGAGCATGGTGAGGCAGCTATAGACAACTTCGGATACAAACAAGCATTAGTTCAAATCTCAGATCTTGAGGTCTGATCTTGGGCAAGTTATTTAACTTTCTGTGTCTTAGTTCTTCAGCATGGTGTTGTAGTGCTCTGAATTCAGACTGTTCTTCATTCAATTTTAGTTCCACCACTTTTAGCTTCCACAAGTTGCTTGTCTGTTTCATTTTTTTCACCCATAGAATGGGGATCATAATTGCACCTTCCTGGTAAGGTCAAGTGAGTGGACACACGTAAAGCTCTTAGAAAAATGTCAACAAAGAGTCTGTGCTCAGTAAATGGTAGCTGTCACTACTCTGATGTTCACCATTACTGACAATGAAATGGAGATTGTCGTAAAATAGTCCCGGTTTGTCATGAGATTTCATTGAGAGAAAGTCTACTGAGTACATAGCCAGTACTTAATAAAATCCACTTTCTTCTTATAGTCTGTGTAGAATGTTGTCAGGAAGAATAGTTTAAAGAGAAATGGTGGCTTCTGATTGGGTGAGTCTTTTAAGGTCCTGGAAGAACTTCAACACAACTTTTGCAGCTGCATAGACTCTAACTCAAACACCAAGTGTTTGAAAAGCATAGAGAAGCAGAGACAGACACAGGTAGAGGGGAAGTGTGGGAGAGGCAGAGTCTAAATGATGGATGTCATCACAATGGCCAAAAAAAAATTGTGCGGAACACAGCAGGCAAACATGCTTTGAGCAGATTATTTCTTCTCAGGTAGGTGATCCTAGGAGACTTCAGTAACTCTTACCTCCCAGGAATTGAAGAATTCTTGGGCTAGAAATGGCCCTGTGAGAGGGGCATGCAATCCCCAATTGGCGTGTTGCTGTTCTTTAGGCACTAAGTCGTGTCTGACTCTTTTGCAACCCTATGGATTGTAGCCCGCCAGGCTCCTCTATCCACGGGATTCCCCAGGCAAGAATACTGTAGTGGGTTGCCATTTCCTCCTCCAGGGGATCTTCCCAACCCAGAGATGGAACCTGCATTTCCTATATGGCAGGTGAAGTCTTTACCACTGAGCCAGTAGGGAAGCCCTTGGCAACATACTCTTGATGTAATGTAGATTGTACTTCTTTAGAAAAGTGCCCAGAGAACTTTGCTGGGTTTTTCTCTGCTCATCTTGTCTTCATATCCAATAGAGTTTAGTTGAAATTACCATAGAATCCCAACAGTCCATCTCCCCCACCCCCCCCACCCATTAGCAATTTCTGCTGTGAACTCACTGACTCTCTTCCATGCAAACAGATACAGGAGAGTCACCACGCAAAGAAGAATATGGTTGGCTCTGGGCCTTTGCTGGCTGGTGTCATTCCTGGTGGGATTGACTCCCATGTTTGGCTGGAACATGAAACTGACCTCAGCGAACAAAAATCTCACCTTCCTACCCTGCCAATTCCGTTCGGTCATGAGGATGGATTACATGGTCTACTTCAGTTTCTTCATTTGGATTTTCATTCCCCTGGTTGTCATGTGTGCCATCTACTTTGATATCTTCTACATCATCCGGAACCGACTCAGTCAGAACTTTTCTGGCTCCAAAGAGACAGGTGCATTTTATGGGCGGGAGTTCAAGACAGCCAAGTCTCTGTTACTGGTTCTTTTCTTGTTTGCTTTGTCCTGGCTGCCTTTGTCCATCATCAACTGCATCATCTACTTTAATGGTGAAGTGCCACAAACTGTGCTGTATTTGGGCATCCTGCTGTCCCACGCTAACTCCATGATGAACCCTATTGTCTATGCTTATAAAATAAAGAAGTTCAAGGAAACCTATCTCTTGATCCTCAAAGCTTGTGTGATCTGCCAGCCCTCTAAGTCCATGGACTCAAGCATTGAGCAGACTTCTGAGTAGTTATCCATGAAAGATGGCTGTCCATCTCATTGACCTTCAGATTCGGCATCAACACTTGAGGGCCTTTCCACGTGGGATGGGGCTCTCATATCTTTGATTCCTTCTACTGATGTGGGAGGCATTTGGCTGGCTGCCTCTAGCTGTACCTTCCCTATGTCCTCTTTCTCTAATCCATTTTTTTTTTCATGTCCTTCTTTGCTGGGTATCTGACTTGAGGACAATGCTCCATTGTTACTGCTACATGTCTTCTCCTCTAACAGAGGTTATGGAATCTGAAGGATGCTTCATTGACTTACTGATAAAAGGGAACTGATTGGGCTTGACATGTACATGATGGTGACTCAGTTCTGCTTCACCGTGGAACTAAGCAGAGAACCCTGCTCTCATCAGTTGCCTGGAAGATGATGGAATGCAAGAACTGAATTGAGTTTAACTTTCTGGATTCAGTTGTAAATGTATTGAGTGAATAAAAGATGATAACTAACTTTTTTATAACTCTCTGATTATGGTCAGGGTCACTTGGGGCTGGAAGATCCAGCTGGCTGCTCCTGGCATCCAGCCTGTTTGCTACGTGACGCCATGTGACACCTTCTCCTATAAATGCTGTGTAGATTCTAGGATCCTCACCCCTGGCCTCAGCACACTCTGCTCCTTTTTCCTAGGCTGATCAGAGTTATTTGTCAGCTTTCTGAACCATTCATCAAGAGTCAAAGAAACAATTCTCTTTTAGACCTGGGTCTTCAATTATTTCCTCTGGTATTTTATTTTAATAGAAATAGTGGGATAGGGGCAAAAAGAGACCCCAGAGAGCTATTAATATTATTTGTTGAGCATGTTCTATATACTTCCCTAGTGGCTCAACAGTAAAGAGTCTGCTTGCAATTCGGGAGACTTGGGTTCGATTCCTGGGTCAGGAAGATCCCCTGGAGAAGGAAATGGCAACCTGCTCCAGTATTCTTTCCTGGAAAGTCCCATGGACAGAAGAACCTGGTGGGTTACAGCCTAAGGGGTCACAAAAAGTCGGACACGACTGAGTGACTAACACTTTCACTTGCTATGTACTATTTTACATGCGTTCTCTCTTTTGGTTCTGATAGTCTTTGAGGTACCATCCTCACTACCATCTCTATTTTGCAGAAGAAAAAACTGAGGTACAGAGAGTTTAAGTAACTTGTCCACAATCACATAATTAATTAATGTGAGCACCAGGATTTCAAGGCAGCCCTGATTTATGGGAGAACCCAACATTCTTGCTACCTATCCTTAGACATGCGGGACTTGAAATTTCTACAAAGCCCAAACTCTTAAGTTAACCTTATGTACAATTATCAGAATCACAAGTACAAGCTATGGTTTGTATACTTGAGGACTGCTGTTTTTTTGTTTGTTTGTTTTTTGTTTTTTTGCCTTAGTTGCTGTTTCTTGTTGGGACACCAGACAGGAATAGCATGCTAGTCATGTCATTTGGGGGCTTTCCTGGTGGCTCAGAGGTTAGAGCATCTGCCTGCAATGTGGGAGACCCAGGTTCTATCCCTGGGTCAGGAAGATCCCCTGGAGAAGGAAATGGCAACCCACTCCAGTATTCTTGCCTGGAGAATCCCATGGACAGAGGAGTCTGGTGGGCTACAGCCCACGGGGTAGCAAAGAGTTGGACACGACTGAGTGACTTCACTTTCACTTTCACATATCATTTGGGGCATTGCGTGTGGACCTGGAATTTGGAGGTGGAATCTCTGATTAGGCAGTCCAAATTTGCAGCTGTGGACTCTTAGTCCCAAGTCAATACAGTACGTATATTAACGTGATGAGAACAGCAAGCTGGGGATTCCAGTTAAACCACATCAGAGAGGATAAGTGTACTGAAAATGTGCTTCTTATTAATTCTCAACTAGTCCTGAGAGATTATCCTGACCCTAATCTTAGGCCAGAGCCTGATAACCATATTTATCTTGTTAACATTTCACTTCAGGGAAATGTTCTTGCATCTCCTTTTGTCAGCCCAAGCAGAATCAGCACTATCTGGGATGTTTAAAATTTGCATGTTCTTTTCTACTAATGCCAAACTCAGTTGGTCATCCCACCCACCCACTTCCTGGTACCATTCACACTCCTATATTAGAGGAAGAAGACTGGAATGCCCACCCCCATTCCTGAGGGTCCCTGGATATAGAAGGAGGCTTTGTTCCTGACAAGCTCCCCATCAAACATTTTGGGGGATCTTTTTTGTTTCAAAAACCAAGTCTCTGCCACCTCCAATTTTTTCTTAATGGTATCCCTTTGTTTGATTTCAGCCTTTTCCTCCTGAATTAATTTTTATGGTTTAGTGAAAATGCTCCTCCAGGATGAGGCCCTGGGTTTACTCGGGGGTGATGGGTGTTCTTGGCACACTGGTCTGCCAACAACTCACCTTTGCCCAATTTGAGACTTGAGGGACGTGCTGGTTAGTGCTCAGACTCTAACCCAGTTGCTGTAGCAACATTTGACCTATGCCTTTTTTGGAAGACTTGATTTAAAGGAACTGTTTCTCTCAAAAGAGGCAGCAGTCTGTCTTGAGTCATTTGGTGTCATCAGACAAGCTGCAGTTCCTGAACTTCAGAAAAACTTTTATTTCCCTTTTTCCTCCTCCCCTCCTTCTCTCTCTTTTCCTTTATGATATTCAAACTGCTTAGCAAACCCACTGAAGGCTTGTAGGAAGTCATATCTTGGGTGTCAGTAAGAATCTCTTGAGCTCAGGGGCTCTACCAGCCCAAAAGAGGCCTTTTAGTTAAGTGTCTTTGGGCGTGAACTCAAAAAAGATGAAGCAAGACTCACCGGTGAGGAGTTAGCCTAGAGGTAGTGAGAACCACCCTGGTTTCAGGTTTAAAGATTAGCATCACAGGAGTTTCTCCAAGTCTGTCCCCTGGCTCCTCCCTTCAGCTAAACATTGTCAAAGGTGGCTGTTAGGCTATCATTTTAAAGGAATAAGGTAAAGAGACCACCCAGACAAAATCAAAGTTTGCCTCCCCCTTCTCCTCCACACAGATTCACTGGACCAAAGGTAGATGCTGAGTAGCTGGCTTATTTGTCCAATGTTTTCCTTTTTATTAACATTAAAATAAGTGAAGGCCAACAAAATGAGAACAAAATGAAGGCTATTTATTCTGAGCTTTCTAGAGAGAGGGAGTCAGCCACAAAGATTTAGTCACTAGTCCATGTCTGACTCTTTGTGACCCCATGAACAAGAATGCTAGATTGGGTAGCTATTCCCTTTTCCAGGGAATCTTCCCAACCCAGGGATCCAATCCAGGTCCCCTGCATTGCAGGCAGATCCCTTAGCATCTGAGCCACCAGGAAACCACTGCCCGTTGCTCTCTGACAGAGTCTCAAAGGCTGGAGAAGAGCAGGATGGTTTTATAGTGGAAGAAAGAAGGCTTCAGGCACACCCTGACTGGAGACCGTTGGTCTGGGGAGACTGCAGCAGGCTGACTAAAAGTGGGGCATCCTGCGTGGTGAGTTAGGGGCCATACTTCACTTTCTCTAGTTGGTCTTTAGTTGGAAGCGGGACAAAAATTAGGGATGCTGTCAGTTTTTCATCTAGCCCTGACCATGTGGGGCCAATTGTTACAGGGATTATTGTTTGGCTTTCTGGATTGTTACTAGAAATAATGGTCTGACTTCCGATCCGTCTGGTTTATATTGGGCTGGCTTCCTGGGCCAGTTACTATAGATAAGGGTCTGGTTTCCTGGGCTGGTTGTGGGCCAGATTCTATTTTTATATATGGTTTGGCCATGGTCCACTTGGGCCTTCTGTTTCTTAGAACTAAATGCACATTTTCTGCAGAAACTCTGCCCTTAGTTACTATAATGGGTATGATGGGAAGGAGAAAAGTCGGGTTGCATCTTGCCCCGGCCACTCGGTGGACATGGCACATGTAAAGTCTCCTTGTAGTCTCTGAATTGCTCTACAGCTTTGCAGTCTTGTTACTACTGGGGAAGCATAATCGAGTGATGGACAGGAGTTTTTTCTTTCAGATTTAGCATTAGCTCATGGTGGCTATAGTAGCTGTATGAATTTAAACTCAATTTTTCTTATTTTTAAAGTGAGACTAGTAATATCTGTGTCAATGTTTTGCTTGTTTTATTGCTTTTTACTTTTTTTTTTTGCTTTTTACTTTTTATTATGAAAAATTTCAAACACACAACAGTGGAGAGACTAGAATAACAAAGGCTTGTATAACTATTATCTTGCTTTAATAATGATCGGCTCACAGCCAACCTTGTTTCATTAATGGCCCCTCCCCACTTGACCTGATTATTTTGAAATTTTGGACATCAAATTATTTCATCTGTCAGCATCTTGGTTTGTATTTTTAAAAGTTATTTTTAAAATGTAGCTTATTCTTATTACCCATTTACTTTCTTATTTACATATCAAATAGAGTGAAAATTAATTCTCCCCCTAAAAGGGAGCAATAGAACTAATTATACCAAATAATAGTCAGAATGCTAAAAGATGCATCTGTTTATTCTCTGAACTCTGAGCCTGTCATTTGCTTTAGAATGTTACTTTTTCATGTCTTGGGTATTTTCCTGATATCTGTGCACAATCTTCTTTGGTTAGCACTTTCTTTGGTTTCACGGTACAAGCTCTGAGCAATTCTGAGTGTTTTTACATGTGGTTTTCTCAGAGATAAGGGCCTACTTTTAAAAAACCCACAATATCAATATTAATTATTGACTGTGATGTAATGAAACACCCCCAAACTTAGAGGCTTAACATGATAATTCTTTATTATCTCTTGTGGTTTTGATGGGTCAGGAATTCAGGACCATCTTGGGTGGGCGGGTCATGCTTGCGGTCTCTCACAAAGTTGCTGGGTCTGCATTCATCTGGAGGTTTGCTGGTACTGGAGGATTTACTTTCAAGGAGGGTCATCCATGTCTTGCAAGCTGTTTCCTTTCCTCATGGCCTTTCCACAGTTCCACTTGAGAGTCCCCACAACGTGGCAGCTGACTTCTGAAAGAAAGAAAGTGCTGCAACCTCTGAAGTGGGAGTTGCACATCTTTTATGATCTAGCCTTGGAAGCCATATGCCATCACTTCTGCCGTATTTTACTGATCACCTGGGCCAGCCCTGATTCAAGCCTGGAGGGAATTACACAGTGGCAGGTGTATCAGGAGCCATCTTAGAGGCTGGCTATGACAATGTCATTATCACATCTGGAAAAAAGTGTAGCAGTGTTTCCTTTTTATTCTCACTTTTAAAAAAATTAATTTTTTTACCTGATTTTTATTTATTTATCTATTTTTTCATTTATTTTTATTAGTTGGAGGCTAATCACTTTACAATATTATAGTGGTTTTTGTTATACACTGACATGAATCGGCCATGGATTTACATGTATTCCCCATCCCGATCCCTCCTCCCACCTCCCTCTCCACCCGATCCCTAATTGGAAGAAAATTGCTTTATAATGTTGTATTGGTTTCTGCCATACAGCAATGAAAATCAGCCATAATTATACATATATCACGTTCCTCCTGAGCTTCCCGTCCCTCTCCCCATCCCACCTCTCTAGGTCATCACAGACAGCAGGCTGGGCTCCCTGTGTTATATGGCAACTTCTCACCAGACATCTGTTTTACACATGGTAGTGTGTACATGTTGATGCTACTTTCACCATTCATCCCACTCTTTCCTTCCCCCACTGTGTCCACAACAATAATTTCTTAATATCATCATCTATCCAGTCACTGTCCAACTTTTCTCAATTGTTGGCTTCTGACAGGATCCAAAATCCAGAATTTTCTTGTATTACTAAGTTCCATATATTACAATTTGTTAGTATGTTTCTCTTACATGCATGCTCAGTTGCTTCAGGCATGTCTGACTCTTTGCTATCCTATGGACTGTAGCCCACAAGGCTCCTCTGTCCATGAGATTCTCCAGGCAAGAATACTGGAGTGGGCTGCTGCGCCCTCCTCAGGGAGTATGTCTCTCAAGCCCCTTTGAATCTATAGAGTGCTGCTTCATTTTGTCCCTCTGGAAGTTTAATTATTGACCTTACAAAGGTTTTTCGAGGAATAAATGAGGCAATATAAGCAAAACCCCTCCCAAGATGCAGGCCTGCTGCTGGCCCAATGCTGACTTGGTGTGAGTAGAGAAAGGCTCTCCTTGCTCAGGAGAAGACATTATTGAAAACCTGGACAATCACCACATCCAACCCTTGATGAGAATTGCTAGCTCTGGGTGTGATACATAAGCATTCAGCTTAAATTCACCTGAGCGTGGTTCCATAATTCAAACTTTAAAAATCAGTAGCCAGACCATATGGGTCCCACATGCAATCAGGGCAAGCATCTATCTCACGGACAGCCTTGATGTGTCCCAAGAAGGCTTTGAAGATGTCTGTAGGCTGCAGCTTGGCTATTGATGCCCCAGAACCCACACTTTCACCTGCTCACATGCTCCGGTTGCCAGCATGTCAGCTTCAGGCTCTACCCTCTAGCCACATTCCCTGGATGAGGCTGCAGTGTTCTCTTGGAAGGCAGGATAGCTATGAATCTTCTTATTGGTCTTCCTCTCAGCTAAATAGGAATTGGGCTTCCAAGAGTGGTGAACAAGACAAGAGGCCTGACCTTGGATGGTACCTGGACCACTGTGCAGGACGGGGCATAGGTGCATAGATGAAGGTGTGCCAGTGATGGTTTGGAGTCATGTGCCCTTCTGAGTGTGCCTTGTCTGCCAGAGCGGATGTATACAGGAGGGACAGCTCCTCTGTGTTTGGGGCTCTACCAGGAAGCCCAGAATTTTAAACTTACTGTAAGTAAGTTTATGTCTGCAAATGGCTCCCCTCTGCTGAAGGGCCTTTGTGCAGTGCACAACAGGGATACCTGTACATAACAGCACTTCTTGGATTAACTGGTTGGTCCTTCTTTTCCCTGGTCTCTCCAAACAGGATAAAAGCATCTTCAACTCAAAGATATCTGTTTCCTTTAAACAGATCCAGGATTCCTAAGGCCCCTGGGTCCATCTGGTCATCCCAGTTGAAGATTCACTTCTTTTCAGCCATGAGGCTCTTCATTCTGCTCTCTTTGACTGTCTTTTCAGGTAAGAAATGGAGAAGGATCTTCTCCAGGCCTCCAAGCTTCCCAGAGGCGGTGCATCCTAACCCTAAACTTAGTGCTTTTCCTTTCCTACCTGGAGTTCCTGCTTATTAGTGCAAGCCACCGAAGGAGCTGGATGGGAAAATAAAAGGTGGTAAAATAATAAATCTTGTCCAAATTAGTCCTTGTTCTTCAATCTGATAAAAGGGTTGTGGGGAATTTCAACCCTCAGCTAAAATGAGGGCCCTGTATTCTCAGTGTAAGTTCCCCTTCCCTTACCCCTTCTTCCTTTAAAAACATTTGTGCTGATATATGAGGATTGGACTTCCCACTTTCTGCACACACCTGACCTCAAAGATGCGAAGGTCAGAGGACCAGGCTGGCCCCAGCTCTGCCCTCCTCCAGCCTTGTGATCTCTGAAGTTATTGCACCTTTCTCTGGGTCAGCATCCAGGCTGGTAAACTGATTATCACATGATCTTTCTCATGGGGTCCATATGAGAACAAAATATCATAGCCTGTCAAATGACATCAAGACACGAGACTGCTTTGTGGGCTGGTCACACCCACTGCAGGCTACTCTGGAAGTAGCACTAAGGGGCCCCAGTGCGCATCTGGAAGATTAAGGGAGGGCTGGGCTCTCTTAGCCATCTAATTTTCCTTGGTCAAACACTTCCCCAGCCACTGTCAAGCTGGATGAGGCCTGCATGACTTCCTTTTTATGCAACATTTTGAGATGACAGAGGTCCCCTCACTGGTCAGGCACAGAGGAAACGTGAAGTTCTTAGCCCCTGAGGATAGAACAGAACCGGATGCCTCTGTCTTCAGTACTGTACAGCCAGCAGAAGCCTCAAAACTGCCTTACTTTTTCTTTTTCTAAATTTTTAAAAAAATTTTATTGAAGTATAGTTGATTTGGGGCTTCCCTGGTGGCTCAGCAGTAAAGAATCTGCATGCAATGCAGGAGCTGCAGGTTCGATCCCTGGGTTGGGAAGATCCCCTGGAAGAGGGCATGGCAACCCACTCCAGTATTCTTGCCTGGAGAATCTCATGGATAGAGGAGCCTGGCGGGCCACAGTCCATGGGGTCGCAAAGAGCTGGACACAACTGAGAAACTAAGTGAACACACACACACACACACACATATTCTTTTTCAGATTCTTTTTCATTATAGGTTATTACAAGATACTGAATATAATTCCTTGTGCTATACAATAGGTCTTTGTTGTTTAGCTGTTTATATACAGTAGTGTGTATCTGTTAGTCCCTAACTCCTGATTTTTTCCCCTTTGGTAACTGTAGTGTTTCCTATGTCTATGAATTTGTTTATGTCTCAAACCTCCTTACTTTCCTTTCAAGGGTGCCAAGGTGAAGTGTCGCAGTGAGGGGTGAGCTAGGGGCACAGAATTTACTAACAGTAAGCCTCAGGCTCTTCAACCCTCCCCCCAAGCAACATGAGTGGCCTCCTAAAGCCTTTCAGAGGGGCATACATATTTTCCCTGCTCTTAGAGCAGGGACAAATTCTTCTCCAGGTTTGCTGTGTTGGTTTGCTAGGCCTCCTGTAACAAACCAAGACTGTGTGGCTTCAACAACAGACACTTGTTTCCTAACAGTGATGGAGGCTAGAAGTCCAAGATCAAGGTGTCAGCAGGTTTGGTTTCTCCTGAGATCTCTCTCCTTGGCTTGCAGAGGACCACCTTCTCACTGTCCTCGTGGTCATCCCTCTGTTGTCTGTGTCCTGATCTCCTTTTCTATTAGGACACCAGTCAGATTGGATTGGGGCCTATTCTAATGACCCTACTTTAACTCCATTACCTCTTTAAAGGTTTTAAATCCAAATACAGTCACATTCTAAAGTACCGAGTGGGGCTTCCATGGTGGCTCAGTGGTTAAGAATCCACCCGCCAATGCAGGAGACACGGGTTCAAACCCTTATCTGGGAAGGTCCCAAATGCTGTGAAGCAATGAAGCCCGTGGGCCACAACTATTGAGCCTGTGCTCTAGAGCCTGGGAGCTGAAACTACTGAAGCCTGCCTGCCCTAGAGCCCGTGCTCCACAACAAGAGATGCTGCCGCAGTGAGAAGCCCAAGTACCGCAACTAGAGAGGAGCCCCCGCTCGCTGCAACTAGAGAGAGTCCACATGCAACAACGAAGACCCAGCACAGCCAAAAATAAACAAATAAGATTTTTTTAAAAAGCACTGGGTGGTTACCACATCAACATATAAATTTTAGGGGAACACTGTTCAACCTCTAACGGTTAGTTGCCAACCCCAAAACAGGCAAAAATCTGCCTCCAATGCTTTCATTAATTTTCCTCCAGGGTACAGGGGCCAAGATGTGTTTAAAAGAATGATGGTGTTTGTCTGTGTGTGTTTTCACAGATGCCATGGTCATGGACGAGAAGGTCAAGGAAAGCTTTGTGCTGGACACAGCTTCTGCCATCTGCAACTACAGCACCCGCTATAAAGACCACCCCAAGTACTGGTGCCGAGGCTATTTCCGGGACTACTGCAGCATCATCGCCTTCACACCCAACAGCACCGACCGCGTGGTCCTGAGGGACACAGGAAACCAGCTCATTGTCACTGTGTCTTGCCTGACCAAGGAGGACACTGGCTGGTACTGGTGTGGCCTCCAGCATGACTTTGCCAGAGATGACATGGACTTTACAGAGCTGGTTGTGACCGATGACAGAAGAGCCATCGCCAACGATTTCTGGTCCGGGCAAGGTAAGGAACCTGTTGTGGGTCTAGCTGGGGGCGACCCACGGCGGTGGGTGGGAGCTGGTGAGGTAAATACTCATTGAGCACCAACTCGGTTCTCTGGGTTAACCTGGTCCCTCCCTCCGTCCAGAGCTGGGTGGCTGCTGATGGTGCTAATGATTAACTGGGAATTTGGGGGAAGAGGAGGGTGCCTGGGCCCCAGGGTGCTCTTAAGAACCTCTCTCCCCTCACAGCCATCTGATTTGGGTGGCTCACCGGCGTGAGAGCTTTGCCATGTGAACTAGAATCTTGAATATTCACTTCTTGAGAAGTGGCTGAGGCTGTAAATAGTGGTCTAGGCACCTGGACGGGCTTCCCGGGTGGCACTGGTGGTAAAGAGCCCGCCTGCCAATGCAGGAGATGTAACAACTGCAGGTTCAATCCCTGGGTCTGGAAGATCCCCTGGAGAAGGGAATGGCAACCCACTCCAGTATTCTTGCCTGGAGGATCCCATGGACAGAGGAGCCAGGTGGGCTCCTCAAAGAGTTGGACATGGCTGAAGCGACTTAGCAAGCACACAAGTACCCAGGCAAGCACCCTCAAAAATTGCCCACTTAAATAATTTTATAATGTACAGAGATAAATATGGTCCAAGAGGTCAATGCTTTCTTTTAAGGGGTACAGTTTGCTCCTGGAGGCAGCTGGAAGGGCGTGGGTGGAGCAGCCTGGAGGGGCGAGTCTGTCTAAGCCAGTATGTTGCTCCTTTGGGCCAGGCAGAAGGGATAAGGGCTCCATTTGCTCCCCAAAGTCCTTCTGTCCAATGTTGAAGACCTCCCTTTACACCAGAAAACCTCTCTCAGGCACATTGCTCTACCTTTTTTTCCTTCCTTCCTCCACCGCCCCCGCCCCCGGCCCTGTGACTTCTCCTTGTTTCCATTTCTAGAAGGAATGTCTTGGGCTCGCTGGTGGCTAGGTGGATAAGAATCCGCCCGCCAATGCAGGAGACACGGGTTCGATCTCTGGTCTAGGAAGATCCTACAAACTGTGGACCTGGAACTGCAGCTTCTTAAGCCCACGAACCCTGACACCAGTGTTTTGCAACAAGAGAAGCCACTGCAATGAGAGGCCTATCACCTCACATAAGAGTAGCCCCCGCTTGCCGCAATTAGACAAAAGCCCTCACAGCAATGAAGACCCAGCACAGCCAAAAATAAATAAATAGATAGAAATTAGAAGGGAAATCTTTCTCTAGCTTCATCAGAGGACAATGCCAGTAGGAAAACATAGCAAAGGGCATAAGGGAGGCTTGGGGAAGCCTGCTCCTGATACTGGAGAGCCTTGTTCACATTTCACCAGTTGGTAATTTCTTCAGCACACATCTTACCGAAAGTGTGACATCCTTCGCACCAACCATGTTTCTACTTTGTGTGGCTCTGCTTTTACTTAAGTGTGTAGTCTGTCCTGAGTTTTAGGCTCAGGATGAGAGAAGTCCCACCTAAATGAGCTCCTCAGTTTAAATGAAACGCAGACACACACCCCATCCCCTGATCTTCTCACAGGGGGCAAGGCGGGTGACTGTGGCGGCCCTTCTCTTGCTGGTTTTGATAGGTGTCAGAAACACAATGTGGCAATTGTGTTACCTACTGATCAGTTCCTTAAGAACAGGACTGGCCCTCTGGTGCCTCTGACGGTCCCCTCCCATAGCTGTCAGCCTCTCTAACCAAGGGCCATGTTTAGTCAACTTAGAACCTTTGTGCACATCCGGAAAAGGCGCCCTTCCTCCCAGTGCATGGAACTCAGTGGCAGGGTGTATGGTTTGGCAAACAGTGTATGGGCTGGATTTCAGCCCTTGCTTGTTCCATCTGCCTTCTGCCTTGTGCGGGCTTTCCTGATAGCTCAGTTGGTAAAGAATCTGCCTGCAATGCAAGAGACCCCGGTTCGATTCCTGGGTTGAGAAGATCCGCTGGAGAAGGGACAGGCTGCCCAGTATTCTTGGGCTTCCCTGGTGGATCAGCTGGTAAAGAATCCACCTGCAATGTGGGAGACTTGGGTTCGATCCTAGGGTTGGGAAGATCTCCTGGAGAAGTGAACAGCTATCCACTCCAGTATTCTGGCCTGGAGAATTCCATGGATTGTATAGTCCACGGGGTTGCAAAGAGTCAGGTGAACTTAACCTAGTATTCACCCAGGGCACTCACTCTCTGGAGATGAGAGAAGGGTGGGCAGGGGTGCAGGGATGCAGAAGGCAACGGAAGGGCCTGAAGTTGGGCCTTATTTGACTCAACAAATCCTTTCTGACACAGACCTTTCCGGCAACAAGAACAGAAGCTGCAGGGCTTCCAAGGTTATCCACAAGGCAGATCACTCCAGGTGAGCAACTTTAGGGGACAAGTGGACTTTGGGTGGGCAGTAACAACGCAACACGGCAGTGGGTTTGCACCCTCTGCTTTCCAGCTGTGTATTGTTTCTCCTCTTGAACTGTCCATCTTCAGTGTGACTGTTTGCTTTCTTTCTTTTATTTATTTATTTATTTATTTATTTTCACAACCATAGTGTATCTTTTTTTTTTTTTACATGTATTGTTTGCTTTCTTTCAAAAGAAAACAGTTTACGACTCTTGATTGCAAGCAGTAAAAATGCCCTCTGGCTATTTTCATTAAAGAGGAGATTTCATCATAAGGAGAAAGCAGTGTCTGATGAAATGCAGGGGCAGAGATGTGGCCGCCCTCAGAAATGGGGAGCATCATCAGGATTTCTCTCTGTCTTCAATCTACTTTACTTTTGAGTTTGCTTCTTCTTTCTCCCCACTGCCCTCTTATATTTCACTTTTTTTTTTTCTTCCCTGGGAGAAGATAATCCACTTGTAGCTGCTGAGTTTATTTTCCCCCTGTTCCCACAGTCTAAGACCGCATCCTCCCACTTCCAGTCCTGTGTTAGTCTCCGAGGAGGGGGCTGGGCCTGGCTTGGTGTCAGACAGCCACCCCAGGTCCCATCATGCGTGATCATGTGTGATCTGGAGGAGATGGGTGCTCTAAAAGAATCTGGTTTCCAGGGGCTGCTGGAACTGGGTGGGGGCAAGGGCTGGGAGAGGGGATGGGTCCCAGGAAAGGGGATCCTGAGCAGAGAACCTAAATGTGGTTTCTTCCAAGAGATAAGGATACTGTCTGTGATTCCTTCCAGGATGTCCATTCTCATCATTTGCATACTGATCACAGGCTTAGGGTTCATCTCCATATTCAGTCGTTTGTCCAGAAGGAGGAGAAACCAAAGAAACAGAAGGGGTAGGTAGAAGTTTGGGGCAGGGATGGTGGAAATTGGGGAAAATGAAAGGGGTCAAGGAACAGTTCTCAAAGGGGTGAATGTGACCCTCCTCCTATTGCCTGGACCCCTGGATTCCCATGCAGCCTGCCCACGGGCTGAGGGCAAATCTGCTTCATGGTCACAAAGTCACCTGAGAGGTGGCAGGGAGGAGGGGGCTGAGATACTGGGGAGCTTCTGGGCACCTGGGCAAGCAGGCATAGAGAAGTCTCCTTGAGAAGAAGGTCTGGGAGTGGTTGGGAGTGGAAAAGGACAAGCCCAAGGGCCTCAGGCCTGGCCTCGAACCACGGGAGGAGCGGCCCTTAAGCTCTGTGCCTCCTTCTTCCCTTGGGCGGTTGCAGGTAAAGGCCTAAGGAGAAACCAGAAAACCAGCCAAACTTCTGTGAGCCCCACACCACCGGTAAGTTCCCTCCTCGACTCTTCTATCTTGGGTTCTGTACCCACTGCTCCCTGATCTGTACGGCTCCCTGTTCCTAAACATAGGAACTGTGTTCAGAAGAGGGTGTGTAGATACGTCCATCTTTCCTGTGGGGCCGCTTCAGAGAAGCCAGAATCCCCAAGGCCACCATGTGGGGAATCGGCCAACCTCTCAAGTGGACACAGGGTACAGACAGCATCAGATACAGGCACCACTAGTTGGCTAATAGGTTTTTGTTTTTATGCTCAGAAGCCACAGAAATACCTTGGGCAATGGAGAGACTGTGGGCATAACTATAAAACAGACTCCAACCTCCTCTGGGTATGGAAATGTAGAAAACAACATTTTAGAGAATGAGGGAACAAAGACGAACCAGAAACATCTGTTAATGAAACACAAGAGTCTACAGCCAGACCAATCTGAAACCCAAAGTTTGGTAGTAATTTGGCTCTGGGGCCAGAGAAGAAGTCCTAAGAACTCAAAGCAGTGGCTCCCATGGCATTCCTGGATTTTGCCATCTAAGAGCTGTGGAGGTGTGGGGTGTAGACAAAGAAACATCTTGCTTGGTTTTCCCAAGACCACACCCTTTGGGGGGCTTCCCAGGGGTCTCAGACAGTAAAGAATCCACCTGCAAGGCAGAAGACCTGGGTTTTAATCCCTGGATTGGGAAGATCCCCTGGAGAAGGAAATGGTTTACCCACTCCAGTATTCTTCCTGGAGAATCCCATGGGCGGGGGAGCCTGGGGCTACAGTACAGTTCAGTTCAGTTGCTCTGTTGAGTCCGACTCTTTGCAACCCCATGGACTACAGCACACCAGGCCTCCCTGTCCATCACCGACTCCCAGAATTTACTCAAACTCATGTCCATTGAGTCGGTGATGCCATCTAACCATCTCATCCTCTGTTGTTCCATTCTCCTCCCACCTTCAATCTTTCCTAGCATCAGGATCTTTTCCAATGAGTCAGTTCTTCACATCAGGTGGTCACAGTATTGGAGTTGGGCTACAGTCCATGGGGTCGAAAAGAGTTGGATATCACCGAGTGACTAAGCACACAACACTCCCTTTGGGACACAATTGGAGCCTAGGTTTTTGCAAAAACCATCTTCACTTCTTTAAGGCATGACCTAGGGCAACTTATTGCCTGTTTACTTCCGTATAAGTTGAGAACCCCATACTCCCCAGGATTTTTTATTCATTCACTCATTCATTCATTCAATAAACAATGACCATACCAGATTCTGGAATACACAGCTGAGTCAAAGAAATAACATGTGTCTTCATGGAGCTTATAATGTAGAATGGGAGGTAGGCAAACCATCTAAGACACATGCTCACACACACACGTCAACTATAAGTACTTTAAAGGAGAGATGCACGGTGTATGAAAGTTGAGGCAACGGAACCCAACCCTAAATCTCATCTAGCAGGGCATTGTACAATCTGGTTTAGCCACAGCCAGCTTCCTCACACTCAGGCAATGGGAACATGCAGCCTGAATCAGGGTCCCTTCTGGGCTCTGAAGGAAGTCAGCTGCATTCGTGTCACCAGAGCTTGGTGAGAGTTGAACGCAGGCCCCATGCACCAAGCTTTGCTGCTAACTGGCTGATAACCTTTAAATCATGACATCTAATTTTCTCTCTGAAAACAAACTTTGGTGTTGGTCCCCTGTGAAGCCCTTATGACAGAGTTTGCCATTTTTGCTGCAGAAACACCCAGCAGAGGTAGGCAATAAATCTCAATTCAATTCTCCTTTTCTATTTCCAACAAAGTAGACAGCTCTTTGAAGTCCCTTCCACGTGTCCTGACTCCAAAGGCAATGGCTCATACTGAACAGATGGGGCTGAAGATTTCTTTGATTAAGTTCATAAATAAAATGATGCTACAATAGAATCACCATGCCAACTGGCCCACAGCTTGGGGACGGATTCTGATCTCAGGTGTTCTGAAGGCCCCTCTAACCTCGCCAACGATCATTTGCAGATAGGGAAGAACAGAGGCAGTCAGGGGGTTGCTTGGCCACTCCTGAGCAAGGCCACAGTCAGATAACATCTCAAGATCTTAGTTCTCACGCAGTCAGCTAGTCATAAGTGAAGAAAAGGGCCAGATCTCGATCACGGGGCCAGGAGATCACTTCTGTTGTATTCCTTAGCCAATAAATTTCTGACCCAGTGTTGAATGAACTTCAAGGTATGACTAACTTCTCTCAGGATATCACTGGGAAAGTATTTCTAGAAAAGTTTGTTTTAAAGTATAATATTCCAGTTTACTTCTGAATTAGTATTCCATGCTGTTCTACCCAAAGAAGGGGGAGAGGCTACATCAGAGATTCTCAGAGTCTCTTGGCTCAAAAACTGGGAAACTGCCACCAGTTTGGGAAACTGCCACCAGGCTGAATGGACACTACCTCTCATCAGTAAGAAACCAAAGTGTGATAAGTTAAGAGAAATATTGATTCACATCAGGAAACAAATTGAGATGAGGGCATCAGTAGTTGTGGGTGCAAGTGAGGTGGTAACTGTCACGAATGCCAGGATTCCCTACACTCTTAGCTTCCACCTGCACGTCTACACCTCTCTTCCCCTAGAGTGTGTCTCCTGCATTTCAGACCCTGGAATCTCCCGCACTGCTTCTGCTGCCCTCATAAAAACCCTGCTCTTCCAGTCCCTCCTGAGAGGGTTTTGGCCAGTCTCCATGCTCAGGAGACTCAGTGGTGTCCTGTCTGGGCAGGCCTGGGATAGGGTTCTATACACATCTGCACGTTTAGGTCCAGGCTCTCACAGAGTCTTTTAGGAACACAGTTTCTTCAGCCCTAAGCCCTCTCTGCATAGGTAGGGAACCCAAAGCTACTCAACAATCAGGCTGATGGGAAGAGCAGGGAGGGGGACCCCATTCCTACCATCCTCTGTATGCGCACTCAGCCAGTCCCCTTCCTTCCCCAGTCCCAGATCAAACATCAGAAGTGCTGTGTTTTCCCTCAGCCACTAAACAATCCTAATCCTTCTCCTGTGGCCATGAGTTGAATTTGTACAAAGAAGCCACCAGCCCACCGGTTTTGCAAACAGCAATCCCTCCTTGGCTGGGTGGGTTAGGACATTCTGCTACACAAGGCAAGAGAGCAGACATCAGTTTTCCACGACAGATGAAGACATCCATAGACATCTTGGAAGATGCACACTTACCTATCTGGAAACCTATTTCTTTTGGGAATCCTACAGGTTGGTTCTGGTTCCACGGTTGGGTCCACAGCCTGTTTTCTTCCCTTACGTACCAAAGACTTGTTGAATCTGCAGTCAATTATTTACTCATTTCATCTTTCAGCAAGGCTAGTTGTGTGCCACTTTTCATGATAGGGACACACAAAAATCATGACTTTGTAAATGGAGGGTTGTGCTGTTAAAAATAGGAAGTTTCAATAAAACAGGGAAGAGGAATTAATCTGATGTTTCATGTATTGGTGGCCATAGGATGATGGTTATGCATCTTCTTGCAAGCTGTTCATAAGGTACTGGCCCTGAACTGGAAAGCTGATGTGGTTCTAACTTCAGGGCTGGTAGAATTGTTTGAAGTCTGCCCAGAGTTTGAGCTGAAACTCTGAGTCCTCCCCTACCAACACATCCCACAGCCAGCGCGGGGGACAAGGGCATTCCTGGCGCTCTGCTGCCCTCGTGCGGCCGACTGCGCTGTGGCACTGCTATCGCTTCCCAAGACTATTTCCCCAAACCGGCTCTATACAGAGGGAGCCCTTGCTTTATCAACTCTCTCTTCCTCTGTCTTCCCCTCAAAATCCAGCTTTCCATCTCGAATAGATCATCTAACTTGGCCTTTCTAGTTTCTCTGCCACTGTATGGGCTCTGGGACAGCTTGCGGTGGAGGCCAGATGCAAAGAATTTGAAGTCAGAGGACTTGACTTAAATTTTGTTCTGCCGCTTACAAGCAGGGAGACACTGGGTAAATTATTTCATCTCTTTGAACCTTAATTTTCTTCCCTTGGTTCTCAAAAATATTACTTAATGTATTTTTAAGAGAGGTTTGTGGGTAAAGCTTTCCTCCCCGTGGACTGAGCACCGTTGGTGGGCACTCCTTAATGAGGGACGCCCCGGCAGAGGCTGAGGATCTGTCTAATGAGTGAGTCTGGGGGTAGGAACCAGAAGTGACTGCTCTGCCCTTCCCCTTCCTTTTTTTAATCCCTTGGGTGCAGATTTCAAGAGCACACGGTATCTTTCGCAACTTCTGGGGACAGCTGAGCTGCCGTTTGGGTTGTGGGGAGGGGCAGGGACTTGCCTTAGTGCATGGAGTTCCGGGTTCTGCAGCTATGGGTTTATGCTTATATTTTCCTATGTTTGTAATAAAGATGCTGCTTTGATCTCTATCTGGCGAGTGCTCTTATTTCTCACTTGGTCTAGAATTCAGGTGGGGAATGGGAACACTAGGTATCAGGCTCCCTGAAAATCCTCAACAAGGTAAATGAAGGACTTCAAAAATTACAAAAAAGGGTTTTTAAAGGAAAACATATTTCCTCCCATCTCTGCCCCTCAGTTCCTCAGTTATCAGGTTCCCCTCCCCAGCAAATAGCAATTACTAAAACCATTAATGATGTTTCTTCCAGAGAGAGACTAAACATACGTAAATACAGGTATGAACTCAGTATTCGTGTGTAACTGTGAGCTCAGGCAAGTTGTTTGACCTCCTTGTGCCTCTATTTCTGTACCAAAAATGAGAATAATAACTGCTGCAACCTCCTGGTGTTTTGTGGGGCTTCCATGAACACATGCTGAGCACTCAGAATAGTGTTTAGAGTATAACAATCCTCACTTAGTTTTAGTCTGTTTGATGAATGCTGCAATTCAAATGACATAGGTGACTTCCAAAGGTTTAAGTAGGACACAGTCTTTGATATAGAATTTAAAATGTTGTTGGCTGTTGCCAAAATGCCTTTCATAGTAGTTGTATCAACTCACCCTCCCACGAGTAGTATATATGTGTTTTAGTTCCCCACAATCTTGTCCAGTTCGTTAGCAAACTTTTGAATTTTGTGGATCTTACTGATGGAACTTATTATCTAATTATAGTTCTAATTATGATTTATCTTAAATAAAGAGTAAAGTTGAGTATCTCTTCATATGTTTGAAGCCATTTATATTTCCTTTTCTGCTAATAGCCTAACCTTATCCGTTCTTTTACTTTTCTATTGAGTTGATTTTTTCCTTATTGATTTATAGGAGCTCATATATGTTGAGAAAATCAGCCCTTTGTCTATGAGGTGCTCTGCAAGTATTTTTCCAGCTTGCCATTTGTCTTTTGAAAGGTTCTTTGTAAGTCAAGTTAATCAGTCCTTTCTGTTTTATTGACCATGCGTCATGTATTCAAAGGCATACTTCACTCTGTTGGTTTCAAAGTTCTCTTATATTTACTTCTAGTACTTTTATGATTTTTTTAGTTAAATTTTTGACATATCTGGAATTTTGAAAAATGGAGTAAGATATAGATCTGATCTTATTTTCATCTTCATGACTACCTAATTTTCTCAACACCATTTATGAATAAACTAATTTTCCCTAAATGATTTGATATACCAACTTCATCATACTCTAAATTTCCTCTTGTATTTTTGGTCTATTTCTGGTCTTTCTATTTTATCCCTTTATTTTTTCATTCATAAACCACTGAAGTGAAGTGAAGTGAGTTCGCTCAGTCGTGTCCGACTCTTTGTGACCCCATGGACTGTAGCCTACCAGGCTCCTCCATCCATGGAATTTTCCAGGCAAGAGTACTGGAGTGGGTTGCCATTTCCTTCTCCAGGGGATCTTCCTGACCCAGGGATGGAACCTGGTTCTCCCGCATTGCAGGCAGACGCTTTCCCATTTGAGCCACCAGGCAAGTTAGCCATTCTTAATAAAACAGTACTTTCAGTTAGCTGTTCAGGTCAGACTTCCCATCTTACTTTTATTTGCTAATTTTTATGAATGGTCTTTCTTGTTTATGGCTGACAAAGAAAATTTAGAATAACCTTACCTAGTAAAAAGTACTCTTATTGACATTTTTACTAGGACCATCTGTGGGGTCACCTACTGGAATTTGGCGGGGGAGGGGGCTAACATTTAGATCCATTTTTAGTTTCCCCATGCTGTTGTTATGCATATCTCTCATGCTGTAGCAAGGAGACGGACATCCTCATTTGAATAGTGCTTTATCCAACAGGGACCTTGTTTTGTGTAGTGCTCTGGGATGTATAGAGTACTTAATGATATCTCATTTATTTTTATACTAGGAGATATGTTATTAGTTCTGTTTTCAAGATGAGGAAATTGAAGCTTCAAAAGTTTAGCATACTTGCCCCAATGAGTGAAGGACGTTAGTCAGCGGTAGAGTTTGGGACTTGTACCCCAATCGATCCTGAGTTAGTTCCAGAGTACCACCACTTTCATTAGGCTTTTCTGGCTGTGGATGAGCTCTGCACCTCTAGAGGAGATGGGTAAAGACACATCAATGATGGAGAAGGAGTCAGCATTGCAGAGTTTGCTTTTATTTGTCATCCAACCTGGATTGTTCATCTGGTTGACTCCTCCCAAGTAGATCAGTGATGCCAAGGAAATACTTGGTGCTGTGAGCTCTGTATCACACTTTTTAGAAGGTGACAGGGGAGGTAGTCTCAGCTCTCAATGGTCTAACAGTCTGTTGGTCTAAGTGGGAGGGCCACAGATCTTCTCTCAGGCCAGGAAAAGACTGACCCTTGGTCTTCAAACTGGTGACTAGCATTGTCCGAGCACACCCAGACAGCTCCAGCTGTGGTTTCATCCGGTCGTAGTCCAAAATTTGTTAAAATGGAAAGTGATGGATGAAGATGGAACTGAGATAAAAGGAACTGGACTCAAGCCTCACTGGAGAGGCAAGGTGAGTTTGTCACTTTAACCTGAGCATAGACAACAGGATCCGAGTGTACATCATTCTGTACACTCTTGTTCAGGTGATTGCTGTTTTCTTTGGGGGCTTTGAAAGTCATGCTGGCATAGGTAAGTACCTCCTCTGAGGATGAAAGCTGCCGAGGAGGGAGGAAGAGGAGGAATGAGTCAGTTCGATTTGGAGGAAGGTGTCTCTCAGAAGCAAGTGACATTTAAAAGGAACTTGAAAGCTTGGGTCAGAGAAGACCCAAAGAGATCAGAAGAACCCTTCGAAGAATCAGTTGCCCAGTGTCCAATGGCATTAGGCCTCCATATCCAGGAAACAGAGTGGTTGGCTTACCTTGACTGGATGATCTGAAGGAGGATCCAGGGCCTGGGGCCTGGAATGACCTGCTGGAAGTGCCAGGAAGAAGAGGAACAAGTCTCAGCCATGGGGCCTGGAAGAATTAAAAGCTTCCTTCTTTAATCTTGGGTGAAGGGGCAGGGTAGCGGGGAGGTGCTGGAGGTGGGAAGGGTGGAGGATGAAGAGGGCCGGGAGAGAAGTGAAGGGGTTCAAGTCCTGGATCCGTGGAGAGTGCGGGCTCTGTCTGTTTTACTCCCCTCAAAGCTACCTCTGTCCTCAATGGCAGAGAAAGAAGGGCTGTCACAGCTCTTGGAGACTTACATTTTCTGCAGCTCTTTATGATGAGGAAGACAAAGGCCGTCAGCAGCAGTGTCAGTATAACCCCAGCAAAAAAGGCTAAGACCAAATATTCTTTGCTGTTGTGGTGAAGAAAGAGAGCAGATGACCCTTGGGACTTTATGAGGGCCTTAAGACAACAGGGTAACCTTTTCCAACTATGGGTAACCCCCTGAAATAGCTTTTACCCTGGTTAGTCAACTTGCAATCTCTCCCCCCGGTTTTCAACTTTTGGCTTTCAGGTTCCAGATCCATTTGAGGTGTCAGTAAAAGCTACGGGCTCTATTCCCCCTTAAAAATGTTCATAGAACTGCACATAGCAAATTTTATAAGTTTAGGGGCTTCATGAGTCTCTTGAGGCATGGGGGACCCCAGGTTAAGAGCCACACTCTGAAGGTAAAATACTGATTTATTTCTTCTGTTTCTGGTCCCTTCTCCCCAGACCTCCCTCCCCAAGTCCATAAGGCAAACTGATCAACACAGAATCAAATGCCATGTGGTATGAGATGAAATGGGAGGCATTTCTTGCTTACTTGGGGTGGCCAGAGAGGCAGGGTGCAGAGGTCACTGCTGAGACTATGGTGGGATGGTTGCCTGGTCCCTCTGTGAAAGAGTACAAAGGGGATTAGTGAATCGGCCACATCTTCTCCAGCCCAAGGGTCCCCACGTGCTCCCCATTATCCAAGCAACCAGTGGAGTCTAACCATGGGGCTACAGCTCTGTAAGAGGAGGGAGCATTGTTTCTTAGAGCCTGTATTTTTTTTTTCATTTCAAAAATTATTTTAATTTTATTAATTTTTAATTTTTTTCCATTTATTTTTATTAGTTGGAGGCTAATTACTTTACAATATTGTAGTGTTTTTTGCCATACATTGACATGAATCAGCCATGGATTTACATGTGTTCCCTATCCTGAACCCCACTCCCACCTCTCTCCCCAACCCATCCCTCTGGGTCATCCCGAGCCTGTATTTTTTAACATGAAAACTAGATCAGGAGCTTAAACAATAATCAGCTACACAAGTGAAAGAAGAGCCTAGTGTTTCCACAGTCCCATTGTCCCTGTAATAACATTTCAGTGCTCTCCCTCAAAGATTTTAATGAGACCCAGAGACATATGCTCCCTGGGACTTAAGCAGAGAATCTCAAGGCCAGGGGTTAAAGACCAAAAGTGATACCTAGAACTAGCATTTCCCGATGTCCCGGGGAGTATTACCTTAGAAATCGCTGCCTTTTTTTGATTCATTTGTTTTTTAGGGCAGCTGTTAACAGTGGCTAGCCAAAGGCAGCCTTGGTGAAGGGACTTCCCTGGTAGCTCAATGCTAAGGAAACTGCCTGCCAAAGCAGGAGACACTGGTTCAATCCCTGGGTCAGGAAGATCCCCCTGGAGGAAGAAATAGCAACCCACTCCAGTATTCTTGCCTGGAGAATCCCATGGAGAGAGAGCTTGACAGGCTACAGTCCATGGGGTTGCCAAGAGTCAGACACGACTGAATGAGCACGCATACTCAGGGGAAGGGAGCCAGGCTCTCACAAACTACCAAGATGGTCTAATGTTGAGCACAGAGACTCTCGATCATATTTGGAGGATCAGATAGTTCTCCCTGGTTTCCATTTTCACTCTTCTTGGCATTAGATCCTGCATCTGATTCTTCCAACTTCAGAAATACCATCCCCTGACAACCCTTCAGCAGTGTCCAGTGATTCCAGTCCATCTGAACTTAACATCGAGGCAAGTAATGGGTTCTGTTGCAGACTTACTATTGTTTGGTTCAGGTTTGGGCATGTGGCTTCCCATGTTGCCTTCCCCTGAGAATTAAGAAAAAAAAAAAACATACGTCTTAGAAACCTTGGAAAAGAGAGGCAGCAGAGAGGCCAGTACTGAGATTGTGATCTTAATATTGGAGCTGTAATGAAGGAGAGAGGCAAATGGTGGGAGGATGTTCTAGTGAGGTCAGTGGTCCCAAACTTTACAGCGTGAGGGCAACAGTTCAGCAGGGAGGCCTCAGCTCTGTAGGTCCATACATTTGATCTCATCAGGGCATCAAGAATTGGCTGAATGTTCCAGAACAGACTCATACCAACCAGCTCAGAAGAGACCAATGTATGAACTAGAATAACATAAGAAATGTGTTTTTATAGCTAGTGCATTTCATCAAAATGTATGAGAAATCCAATTAAAACCATAATTTTTCTTGATAAACATCAAATTGGAGTATGAAAGAAGCAGAACGGATGGTTTTAATATTGAGTGTCACATAGGTCTGATGCATTGGCTTCGGTCTTCCCTAGCAGTGCTGGGCAAACTAACTTGCTCTTGGAAGTCCTGCATCAGAAACTTCTGTTTTGTTCACATATTATCTTTTCAAGTGTGACAGTGTCATTATATAAGCTATGGTTCTTTCATGTTAAACTTTCTGTATTTCCCCTCTTTTATCTATTTATACAAAAAAGTATAGAGTACCTAAAAGCAGAAAAGTAAAATCACTCAAACTTCCACTACCCATTGTTAATATTTTAGGGTATTTACTTTTTGTTGTACTTCCACGCATCTTTTAAAAGCTAGTTGAGATACTTCTTCATATCTCTTTTTCTTTTCTTACTAAGTGTTTCATCATAAACATTTTCCTATTTCACTGAAAATTTCTATAAGCCTCTGAGTGGTGATAGGTCTTTCTGTTGTAACTATGTACTATAGCTTGCTTTTCTAGTTTCCTGCCTGTAGATAAAAAATTATTTCCACTTTAAACAAAATAAAACAACAAACAATTTTAGGAGGCCACAATTTTACTACATACTTAGATAAACCCATAAGAAGAATTTTTAATTCTGCTATAACTACTGTATTTTAAAGTTATTTATTTAGACAATAAATGACATTTGTACTTAATTATTCATCTGTCAAAAGTGAATTAATTTCTGAGTCCTTGGACATAGGGAAAGATTTGGAGAAGGACACCTCATTGCCATGTAGCAGTTACAACAGCAAAATTATCAAGTCCATCTCCATAGCAGAATCCATAGGGGCAACAATTTTTCCAGTACTTTTTGTTCCTTTTCTAATTTAAAAGTCAATAATCAAGAAGGAGGGGATATATGTGTACATATTGCTGATTCGCCATGTTGTCCAGGAGAAACTGTCACAACATTGTAAAGCAATTATATTCCAATAAAAAAATAAAAGGGAACATAATTAAACATAATGATAAGAAACAAAAAGTCAACAGTGCTCTTTGCAGAGTACTGTAAAATATTTATGTAGTGTTTTTTAAATATTGAAATATGTGTTTGCACTAATCATAGTATGAATTTATCCTATGAATTTGTACTAGACCATATCACTGGGGAGGTGGGGGAGGGGAGGATCATAGTTTTCCATAAAATCTTAACCTTCCCATGAGTGGTTCTGAGTTTACAACCGCCCCAAAGAAATGTTAGGACAGTCACGTAAAACAAAAGCTGGGTACCCCCCATCCTGAAAGACAAAACCTTCACACGATGCAACAGGGAAATTGTTAATGAATCCACGCTAGTTACAAATCCATGCTGAGAAAAACAGGAAGACTACACCCTTTGAAAACAACACTCCAAACGTTTGACAGAAACATAAAATAGAAATAGCACTCCATATACATATTTTTTCACATTTTGTCCAGCATTGGAGAATCTTACTGATTGTCATAAAATCCACCAACTAAATGCAGCCATTCCCATACAACCTTTCCCCGACCAGATAAGGTTAAGAAAAGTAACTGAAACCACTAAAAATTAGATTAACCTTTTGTTTTGGTGATTATTTCATCTATATTAAAAAACGGAGTAAATGTGTTTACCTTTTAAGACAAAGTCCGGTTGTAAGATGTCATTGTCTAAGACGGAGCTTTTCACTTGCTGCTTCTGCTATCATTCCGATTTCTCAGAATGATGAAACAGTGATTACTGCCACTGCCCCTGCCACCATCAAGCTGTGTGTTGCAAAAATCTTATCTAAATTCCGGGGCTGACTTCCTGTTTGTGGCAAACTCTATTTTTTTTTCATTCCACAAGCAGAGAACTTTTATATCTTTTGACACGCGAATGCCAGAACGTTGGGGGGATAAGACAAGTTTATTTCTAATTAAGTATCGAATATGGAACTACCATGTCAGATGTTGTGGGGACCACAGTGGGGGTGTGACATTATCATTGTCACAAGCATGTCATAATCTCGTTTATTGCAGCCAAGGAAGGAAGGTTGATAGAGAAAAATGAAAAGCAAATGGTGTTAAGTGCGGACTAGACAGACTTTAAGTGTTTTAAGACCACGGACATCGCCAGCCTCCCCAGGGGCTTAGTGACAAAGAATCTGCCAGCCAATACAGGAGACAGGGGTTCGATCCTTGGGTTGGGAAGATCCCGCATGCTGCGTGGCAACTAAGCTTGTGTATCACAACTTCTGAGCCTGCACTCTAGAGTCTGAGAATTGCAAGTACTGAGCCCAAGTGCTGCAACTACTGAAGCTCACACGCACTAGAGCCTCATGCTCTGTAACAAGGGAAGCCATGACAACGAGAAGGACACACACCACAAGGAGGAGTCGCCCCTGCTCAACACAACTAGAAATAGCCTGTGTGCAACAGTGAAAATCCAGTACAGGCCAAAATAAATAAACAAGTAAAAATTTCATATATATATATGAAGCATGGAGATTGCTTCAAAGGGAAGGTGGATCATTTACTTGTAAACATTTACCCATGAAATAAGTACACACATTCAATAGACACAATGGCCCATGTGCTATGGGTATTTTAGAGAGAAGGCAGGAAAGCTCATGAGGCCTACTGTCTAATTGAGAAGAGTAACAATAGAAGAGGAAATAACAGATTGATTACGGATTGTGTTCAGGGACATGAAGGAAAGAAACAGAGTGCCATGCTGGAGAGTCAGTGATGGGAGGATGTCTTTAGATAAAATGGATGACCCGGGAATTCCTGTCCAAGGAGTGATATTTACCCTGAGAACCAGAGGATGGGAACGAGCTGGTTGGGCAGAGAGTCTGGGGAAGACAGTTCCAGGAGGAGAGCAGAGTAACTCACAGGCCTGGGAGAAGGGAAGAGCTGGCAGGGCATGCAGGATCAGGCAAGGCTGTGAGCAGGGAGACCTGGAATATGCTTGGGGGAGAAGAAAGGGACTGTGTGAGGAAGTTCCCAGCCCCAGGATTGCTTGCTGGGCTTTGAGCGATGGGTTTCTGGGACACCAGCATGGCTCAAGAGAGAGGCCTTGGTAAAGGGTGAGACAGAAAATAGTTGTGTAGATAGATTGAGATATACTGTGGAGGTCTTTAAATCCAAGCAAAAAGTATATTTTAAGTATTAATAAAGAATCACTAAAGATTTTGGAACTCTTGTGTGAATTCCAAACATGACCTGTAAGGAAGATTGTATCACATCAAATAAACTGTGGGTAAAGAAAGAGACAAGGAAATAAGCTGTGTCAGACATACAGGATGGAGTGGGACTCAGAAAAGGCTCAAGGTCACACAATGAGGGGAAGTGGGTGTCAAGAAAAACATCATAGAGAAGATGATGTTTGAGTTGCTTCTTGAAAGATGAATCACATTTTCTAGGCAGACAGAGGAAGAAAGCATATTCCAGGCAGAGGGACCATGTGAGCAAAGACATGCTTTGTCATGTTTGTGATGTTCAGCGAAATGCAAGTATTTCATCACTACTGATGCTACAGAGATTAAGAGTGGGTGGAATCTTTTTCCAGTGGGGGAATGAAACAAGAAAGACTGTAGAGGAAGCTCAAGGTCACATGATAAAGGACCTTAAACAGACTTTCCTTGGAGACAATGGAGAGACTGCTGAAGGATAAACATGATCACATTCTGGTTTGGGCAAGAGTGTAGGAGGGACTTGTGTGGGCCAGACAGGGGGCAGGGAGTCCTTTAGAATGGCAGAGTTCCAGTGAGAAACAGGAGGATCTAATCAGAGACACTGGCCTTGGGGAAGAGGAGGCAGGGCAGAAAGGTGATGAATCTAATCTTTTTCTAGTTGTGGGAGAAAGGTAAGGGGGAGAGAGCCCAAGATAACTCCCAGGTTTCTGCCTTGAATCACCAATTAATGGTGAGAATATAGAAGAAGGTGAGTGTAGGATTGGACATATATAATGAGCTTACTTTTGAACACATTGAGCCTAGGGTGCCTGTGGATTGTACTACCGAGAGATGTCAAGAGGGTAGTCGGATGCACAGGTCAGGGGCTCATGAAAGATCCAGAGCTGTGTGGTAGAAAGTACTAGTTCTCACCCCGAACCAGATCTCCTCTCCTGGCACAGACCCTCACTTACAGTTTAGTAGTGCCATGTGATAAGCTCTGGCCAATGGGCTATGAATGAAACTGATGTAGTTCCCTTTTAGTTGAAGTGTTTAATTACTGAAGGAAGACCTCCTCTGATCCCTTCCCCTTCTGGGTGATCACAGAGGTTTTGTGATAAAAAGATAAGGTTGAAAGCTCTAAAGTGGATCACTGAATCACTATAAGGAGGATAGTTTCTCTGGTGGGTCACCTGGGCTTAGAATGGATTGTGTGTGAGCAAGAAATAAACTTTTCCACGTTACACTACTGAGATTTCAGGGCAGTTTCTTACCTCAGTTGACTTAGCTTATCCTGCCTAATACAACTTGGGATATAGATTAGGAAACCATCAGCATACACGTGACAGTAGAAGCCACGGGGATGGATCAGATTATCCAGGAACAGTTTGTAGAATGAGAATAAAACATTCCTAGAACTCTGAGGAACACCATCACTTAAGAGGGAGTCAGAAAAAGTGGAGGAGCTTTCTTGGTGACTTGCTGGTAAAGAATCTACCTGCCAATACAGGAGACACGGGTTCAATCCCTGATCAGGGAGGATCCCATGTGCTGTGGAGCTACTAAGCCTGTATGCCACTATTATTAAGCCTGTGCACTAGAGCCCACGTGCTACAACTACTGACGCCCGCACACGCGAGAGCCCCTGCTCCACAACAGGAGAAGCCACTGAAATGAGTAGCCCCCACTCTCTGAAACTAGAGAAAAGCCAGCACAGCAACAAAGACCCAGCATAACCAAAAATAAAAAATAAATTAACAAAAAAAATTTTTTAAGAAAAAAACCCTGGAGTCAGTTACAGAAATTGAGAAGACACAGTGACAGCAGTAATAGCTAATGTAGGGGCCAGAGAGGGAAAGAAGGAAAAGCTGTGAGCACTGAAGAATTTATGCTTTTGAACTGTGGTGTTGAAGACTCTTGAGAGTCCCTTTGGACTGCAAGGAGATCCAATAGTCCATCCTAAAGGAAATCAGTTCTGAATATTCACTGGAAGGTCTGATGCTGAAACTCCAATACTTTGGCCACCTGATACTGAGAACTGACTCATTTAAAAAGACCCTGACGCTGGGAATGATTGAAGGCAGGAGGAGAAGGGGACGACAGAGGATGAGACAGTTGTATGGCATCACCGACTCTATTGACATGAGTTTCAGTAAGCTCTGGGAGTTGGTGATGGACAGGGAAGCCTGGCGTGCTGCAGTCCGTGGGGTTGCAAAGAGTTGGACACAACTGAGACTGAACTCAACTGAATAGTGCCAGATGCTACAGAGAGAGAGGTTGATTAAGATGAGGACTGGAAAGAGTTAATCAGATTTAGAAATGAAGAGATCCTGATCTTTTTGCTAAAGCAGCTTGGGGTATGATAGTGGTGGGGAGTAAGACTTCAGTGAGTTAAAGAGTGAATGGAAATCCCTAGACATACAGCAGATTAGATCTTTAAAGAGATCCTCTTGTTAAAGAGCACCAACAAAGGCTGGATAAAACATTTGAAACACCATAGTTTAAGGTGGTGCTAGTGATAAATAGGGCTCCCCTGATAGCTCAGCTGGTAAAGAATCTGCCTGCCAATACAGGAGACATAAGAGACATGGGTTCAATCCCTGGGTCGGGAAGATGCTCTAGAGGAGGGTATGGCAACCCACCCAAGTATTCTTGCCTGGAGAATCTCATAGACATAGGAGCCTGGCAGGCTACAGTCCAGAGGGTTGTAGAGGGTTGGACACTATTGAAGCGACTTAAAGCACACAATTTAAAAATGCATGACTGATAAGTAAAATAGATAGCCAGTTGGAATTTACTGTGTGACACAGGGAGCTCAATCCAGTGCTCTGTGGCAATCTAGAGGGGTGGGATGGGGTGGAAGATGGCAGCGAGGTTCAAGAGGGAGGGGATATATGTATACATGTGGCTGATTCATGTTGATGTATGGCAGAAACCAGTACAATATTATAAAGCAGTTATCCTCCAGTTAAAAAATATATATACATGTATATTTTAAATGCATGGCTGAACTAGATGTTGGAAATCCTCAAAAATCAGAAAGACAGTTGAGACCTGAAGCTGCTATTTATTCTGGGAAGAGCCACCAATTTTTGGTGACCTGAGGATTGGGTCTACAGGCCTTGTATGAGGTTAGGAAACCAAGTCTAAAGCCTGCATCATGGTGGGAAATTGGTTCAGATGCCCTGAAAGGGAACCCACAGTGAATCAGAAAAAAGCAAACCAGGTAGAAATGGTAGGGATCCTTAATAAATGTTTTCTATTGCAGTATAACAAATATCACAAATGTAGAGGCTTAAAACAGTACACATTTCTTCGTTCAGTTTCTGTGGGTTAGAGGTTGTTGTGGTTCAGTTGCTCAGTCATGTCTGACTCTTTGTGACCCGATGGACTGCAGCACACCAGGCTTCCCTGTCCTTCACCACCTCCTGGAGTTTACTCAAACTCACGTCCATTGAGTTGGTGATGCCATCCAACCATCTTATCCTCTGTCATCCCCTTCTCCTCCTGCCTTCAATCTTTCCCAGCATTAGGGTCTTTTCCAGTGAATTGGATTTTTGCATTAGGTGGCCAAAATATTGGAGCTTGTTTCAGCATCAGCCCTTCCAGTGAATATTCAGGATTTTTTTCTTTAGGATTGACTGGTTTGATCTCCTTGCAGTCCAAGGGTCTCTTCTTCATCTTGTTCCTCTACCTCCTGCATTTCCTGGAAACTGGAATTTACATCTTAAGTGTTGATAGACTCAGGTAAAATATTTCTGGATAGATTATACCACAAGTGATATTGTCTACTTCATATTTCAGCAAATCAGGAAACTTACCTGGTTATTCCACCAGAGTGATACTAAGAATAACCAGTGAACTAGGTCACTGGCCACTTGATTGGAAAGATCTTGATTCGTATTGATAAATTATTTTTATGGTCATTACAAAATTTACAACAAAAGAATCTAACATTTCCTTTTCATTGACATGTAATCTTTTGCTAACACAAACATATTTCAAATCAATCTGACCTTTTCATAGCAAATATTTAAAAAATAATTGGTTGTGCAATGTCTAATTTGAGATTGCACAACCAATTACCACACAACCAATTTGTATGTACTAAACCACAACCATCACAAAGAAAAAAAATTTTTTCTTTTAATTGGAGGATAAATGCTTTACAATATTGTGTTGGTTTGTCGTACATCAATCAGCCATAAGTATACATATACTCCTCCATCTCTGGAACTACCCTCTCAAACCACCCCCCACCCCCCCATGTTGTCACAGAGCACTGGGCTGAGCTGTGTTATACAGCAACTTCCCACTCTTGTGACCCCATGGGACTGTAGCTTGCCAGGCTCCTCAGTCCATGGGATTCTCTAGGCAAGAATAATGGAGTGGGTTGCCATTTCCTTCTCCAGGGGATCTTCCCGACCCAGGAATTGAACCTGGGTCTCCTGCATTGCAGGCAGATTCTTTACTGACTGAGCTATGCAGTGTATATATAAACTGATATTCTGAAGGTAAGAGATTTGGGACTGTACTTTGGAGTTTTGCCTCTAAAATCCCTGCTCAGCTTATTACCTGTCTCACTCCTGACTGGCTTCACTTTGGGTTGTGACACCCCAGTCCTTGCATATAGGTAAACAAACTCCTATAGCACATTCTTGTCCAAAAGCAGAAAGTGCTCTATAGCTGGCCGCTATAGTAATGTCCAGGTGGCAGAACATCGTGTTGCTGACCCACAGCATGTTGCAGTGCTGTGTGAATACAGGATGTCACTCCCTGGTTCTGGAAACTATGGGGCACGCTGTCAGTCTGCTCGGATCCAGTGGCCTTATGAGGAGTCCCAGGTGAAGCTAAAGTTTTGTCTGAAGTGACTGACTTGAGAGCTGACAGCCTCACGCCTGGCTGCCTTTGCAGGTGCCAAGCAGGAACTACTTTATGGCTTATCCATGTTGTTGCTGATCTGTTGATTCAGTATTAGCAGGGCTGTAACTTCCCAACTTCTCTCCTTGGGTCATCCTTAAGCTTCTCTAACCTTTGAACCAGGAATATTAGGAAGGGCCTCGGGTTTTGCAGGACAATCATACCATGAAGATCAGAAGAAATAAAAACTGACAAGGGTTTCAATCTGTGCTTGTAGTTTCCACTTGTTCCTACCCTCTCCCACTTCACATCTATCTTCCCTTCTTAAATGCCTGCTCCATGCATGTCAAGCTCCTTCATCAGAAACAAATATTAAGAGCTTACAGAGACTGCTTAACCAACTCCCACAAGAGCATAAAGTCAAATCTCTTACATATAAACACATATCCTAGTAGCTGTGCTTCTGACTGATGACTGACTGATACAGTTATACACAAGAGAAACGATGAGGCTATTTAGACCACCCAGAAAACACCTTGTACTAAAAGCTGTATTGTATCATATACGCTGCCTTTTCAGCAGATTAACACCTTGTGGTAGGAACTTTTTATCTCTGTGTGACCATTGTACGACTGTGCCTAGCACAGCAATTCTTCATTTAATGAATAATTTGGAACATCTACTGACCCTAGAAAACTGTCCTTTAAGCAACATCTTAATAATGATGTCAATCTGATTTCTATAGAAGATGAATACATTAGCCATCAATATTGACCTAAATGATTGTCTTATCCTTTTGTTCACAAGTAAATCCTTCTAAAAGTATGAGAATTAAATGCAGACAAACCTATGGAAAGGAAGAATTTTCTATCTGATGGATTCTTGAGAGTAATTTTATGACACGTTGAGTCCATAGTATTTTCTGCAGACATACTATTAAAGCGAAAATAAAGTCAATGATATATGATTTCCTTTAGCCATTTTAAGAACACTGAAAAGCTTTAAATTCCCCATAACCTAGCAGCAAGAAATAGCTTACCACTAATAAGTTACGATTATCAGTTCAGTGACATCTTTAATTTTTTTACCAATAAACGCTGAAATAGTATTTCAGAAAATTATGCATCTCGAAAAACTTTGTTTCAACTGTCATTTTATTGTTAAGATGGCTGAACTAATTACAAATTTTAACTATAACTTTTGACAATTTTTAGCCAGGTACCAAATTTTATTCAAAGAAACTGCTTATTTAAAAGTGATCACAGGACAACTCAAAATGTACAGCAAGATGGATTAGAGAAAGATCTTACTGGCCAACAGATTGTTTTAATTCTCTCATTATATCAGACTCAAAACTTTTCATTTATAGTAAATGTAAACTGTAACTTCAGTAGATAGCAATATAGAAAGATTTTATCACATTGACTAGTTTCCATTTAATCTGTTAACTGTTTCTAGCTGTCTTAATGGGGATAGATGTGTTTATAGAACTGGCTGAGCTTGAGCCTTCTTTGCGAGCAGCTTCAGATCTGCAATGCACTTGGCGATTGTTTCCTTCTCCTGTGATAAGGAAAGAGAAAGCTGGTTAGACCTTGTCTAATCACAGAAGGGTATAAGCACTGTAATTCTAAAAGATACCTCCTATAAGACACTAAGGTTACTATAGAATCTCAAGATGGATTACTGGCTTAAAGATCATCCTCTGTTGTCCCCTTCACCTCCTGCCCTCAATCTTTCCCAGCATCAGGGTCTTTTAAATGAGTCAGTTCTTTGCATCAGGTGGCCAAAGTACTGGAGCTTCAGCATCAGTCCTTACAAGGAATAATCAGGACTGATTTCCTTTAGGATTGACTGGTTTGGTCTCTTTGCAGTTCAAGGGACTCTCAAGAGTTGGATTTTTCAACATCACAGTTCAAAAGCATCAATTCTTCAGTATTCAGCTTTCTTTATAGTCCAACTCTCACATCCATCCATGACTACTGGAAAAACAAAGCTTTGACTATATGGACCTTTGTTGGCAAAGTAATGTCTCTGCTTTTTAATATGTTGTCTAGGTTGGTCATAGCTAAGAGTCTTTTTTCTGAATGTTGCGAGTTTTAAGCCAACCTTTTCACTCTCCTTTTTCACTTTCATCAAGAGGCTCTTTAGTTCCTCTTTGTTTTCTGCCTTAAGGGTGGTGTCATCTGCGTATCTGAAGTTATTGATATTTCTCCCAGCAATCTTAATTCTAGCCTTACATAGGAGATAATCAGTTATTTAATAAAGCAAAACCAGGGAATAGTTAAAGTCCCCTGGCTCAAAGCTTTTGTGAGTGAAACCTGTCTAGAGGTTGAAGCTAGATAATCCTGTAACCATGTGCCACTGACGTTATATTTTACAGCTAATACTTGCTTGAACAGGTCCAACCTAACAAACATTAGTAATAAACAATGTTAAGAAAGAATAAAAATAATTTTTGTCTCTTTTGTACTTTCCAAATTTCTTAAATAAGTGTATCACTTTTACATAAGAGTATAATTTAAAAACCCAATTCATTAAATATCGATAGACCCTGTTTTTCCCCAGCACTGCATGGTTATGCTGAAAGTGACCAGAAATGCCTAAGTATACTCTTTATTTGGGAAAGAAGAAATCAAGTGATAAACAAGTAAATAAAAATAAACAGATAAAATAGAAAACATTTCTGTTCAAGATCAATGAATTTAGCAGCTGAGGAGAGGAAATGGAATAGATATCACAGAATTAGAAAATGGAAGAGGCTCAGAAATAGACTTGTCCAGTTTTTGTTTTACAGAGTTTATGTTGGTTAATGTTTCCCAGATGATGGGACTTGAACCTAAGTCAGCCACAACGAGTGTTCTCAGTGATCTTTCCACTGTGAGTGAAGAGTCCTTTTGGTAACCAAGCTCTGAGAAAGGAGGAAACCTACCATGGCAGTTGTGCAGCCCTTTCTAGGTTACCGCTAACCAGAAAAATGAACCAGGGCTATCCCAATACTGCTAGGCTAAAGACTCCCTGCCAGCTATCCCTATACTATCAGTTATCTATACAACTCCAGAAGCTTTGAAACATCATGTACCTGCTGTGCAGAGATGCTCTGCACCACACGCTTCTCCACCCAGTTTATCATGTGCTCTTGCTCCTTCTGACGCATCATATTCTGCACAGAGATGTGGTAGTCCAGGCGATTCTTTACCTCCCTGTATACTCTATGCAGCCGTTCCCGGTAAGTAACCTCCAACGCCATAGCAATGTTATTCTGAAGTAAAATTAAGAAGTGATGAAAATTGCTTGCACAAAGGATTACTTCCATTCTGAGGATTCTGCCTCTTAAAACAGCTACCACTTAACTGTATTTTATGCAAAATTCATTTGTTTAATATGAACAGGTAATACATGCATCTGGTTAAAAAAAAACTAACAGCATATAGCAAAAATATATTTAAAAGTATTTACTGTAAAAAATAAGCCCTCTCCAGCCCCCTCATAGGCTATCATCTTCCTATATTTCTTGTATTTTCTCCCAGAAATACTTAATAAAACACATGTATATGTACACACATAAACATCACTTTTACTGGTTATGACATAGACTCATCTCAATTTTAAAACTTACATTGGATTCTACTATTTTTGTGTCTCATAACTCATAATTTATTTAACTAAGGTCTATTAACAGATTAGACTGCTTATAATTTTTTCGACTACATATTGCAGTTTACATCTTTGCAGTTATGTCTGAATATCTGCTGGGGCAAAAAATAGCTAACATCTGTTGAGTATCTACTATCTCCTAAACACTGTGTGTCAATTCAATTAAATCTTAAAATCACACCACAGGATAGTTACTATATTCATTCTACAGTGAGGAAAACTGAGGCAGAAACCAAAGAATCTGTCCAAGGTTACAGGGTCACTGAATTATGAAGCCAAGGCCTGAATACGAGGGGTCAGGCTACAAAGCCCAGGCTCTTAAAGATCCATTTTAGATTGTGATTAACATTGTCAAATTCTACAGAAAAGTTGTACGGCTCCATTCTTTCACCAGCAACACAAATAGCATGACCAACAGTGTTTATAAAACCTTTTACTTTCTGCTTATTCTGATAAGCAGAAAAAATTATCAATTTTAATTGTCATTATATAAGGAGAAAATTTATATACTTAGAAGTCATTTACATTTACTTATATCTTTATAAATGGTTCATGTCCTATGCCTAGTTTTCTACTGGAATGTTGGTCTATCCTAAGGTAATACCCTTTTGAATCACATGGAATGCAAGTGTCTTTTTATCTCTAACTTTGGTTTATGGTAATTTCTACATTCAAAATTTAAATTTTTTAAAATGAGATTAACTTAACAATTTTTCCTCCTATGGTTTTCTGGATTTTTGAAAATTGAGGTATAACTGAAATACAATATTAATTTCAGGTAGACAAACACAATGATTTGGTATTTGTATATATTGTGAAATGATCACCAGAGTGAGTCTAGTTAACATCCATTACTACCCAAGTTTCTGGATTTTGTTGTCTTATTGGAAACATCTTGTCTTTCCAAAGGTATTGTATTGTTTTTCATGTTGTCTTTTTCTTCTTTTAAGGTTTCATTTCTAGTTTTTATACTTCTTATTTCTTTTTCTTCTCTAATATCAGCTACTGCCTCCAGAATAATAATCAATAAAGTGACAGGGGTATTGTCATCTTCTAGTCTGTAATGAGAATCCTTACACATCTCCCTGTTAAGTATAAAGGTTTGAGATATTAAGCTCAAGTAGGCCCTATCTTCTTTCTCCTCAAATCTCAAATACTGCCTTGACTACTTTCCTTTTCAGCAAATGACCTAACTTCCTATTTCACTGAGAAAAAGGAAACAAAGAATTTCACAAACTTGTACCACTATATCAGCCAATCTGCCTGAACCCATGCTCACATACTTTGCCTTCCTTTAACTATGGAACTGTTGATGCTCTTGAAGCCAATCCTTCCACCTGTGTACTCCAAGCCCTCTAGCCCTACTGAGGGACACTGCTCTAGCAAATTCCTCCCTAAGCATACCCCTTTCTTTCATCAAATTTTCTCTCTACTAATTTCTATCAGATCCTAACATGTAATTATACTTTCTATCTTTTAAAAAATCTCTTTTGATTACTAACTCCTCTCCTCTGAGCTACTAATTTCTTTGCCCAACAATATTCTAACTCTTTCACAATTGTGACAGTGATTTATACCCAGACTCCAATTCTCCTCTTCCATTTTTTTCCTTTAATTTACTCCAACCACTTCACTAAAACAACCCTCACCAAGGTCTCCAACCTTCATATTATTAAATCCAATGCCAAATTCTTAGGCCCTTTATTACTTGACCATTAAGTAGGGCAGCTACAAATTAATCCTTGCTTCCACCAGTTATTTTCCTTCTTGTTCCAGTCTTACAGCTGTTAAGTGCCACTTGTAAGCTCATGATGTCCAAATTCTCCCCAGTGATTCCAGACTCTTGTATCTCTTACTTGGCTAACTCACAGGCATTTCAAACCAACACACGCAAGACTGAAGGCTATTTACAACAAAGCCATCAGAGTGACTCCAAAACACCAGTGAGATCGTATCACTCCTCTGCCTAACAGATTCAATGACTTTCTCTCATTCTGAGTACAACTCAAAGTTCTCATAAAAGCGTATGAGACTTCATATGATCCAGCCCTTGGCCACTCTCTGCCTTGCTTCCTCTTACCTTCCTCCTCACTCATTCTACTTCAGCTATGTCGGCCTTCTTACTTTCCCTTGTCTATACCAAGCAAGCTTCCAGGGTTAGGGCCCTTGTGATTGTTCTTCCCTCTGTCTGCAATATTTCCTCAGGTATCAAGTTCAAATATCACATCAGAAGCCGTTCTAAGTTGCTGAACAAAACAGTCAACTCCCTACTTCTAATATTTCTTTTCCTTTAACCTAAGTTCATTATTCTACAGGCATTTCACACAAGTTGACATTCATATCTGCTTAATTTTTTTTCCTTTCCTTCTCACAACCCTTGGCTAGAAAGTAGGCACCAAGAAAGCAGACTTGGTGTTCTCTGCTGTAATCCTAGCACCTTGCCTTGACCAGTGTCCACACTTAAAATATACCTGTTAAATATTTCATAAATAAATAAAAATTTTAATCACTATCATTTGATTCTTACAAAAAGTTACATCTTCAAAAGCCATGTTTTGTGTGACATATTATTTATGAGGCAGGAAGAATTCTCCAGCTCTAACCTACACATGAAGAGATTTCTGAGGATTTCAAACATAATGTGCTAAGTATCTTTAGGGATCCTGTTATGTTTTAAGACTTTCTTATAACATGCATGTTTGACATGCATGGCATGTTATTTCACCTACTCTATTTTACAGTGAATGTCATTTTTAAATCAGCTTTCTGTGTGGATTTAAAATGTGTTCTACTTTTTATTCTTTCTAGTTTTAGAGTAATAATTCTAATTATCCACTTGAGGGGTCTTAGATGTCTAAATAGCTTTAACAGTCTACCCCCACCCAAACATTCTGTTTTCCAAGTAAAATATGCTCAAACTATACAACCTTCATAAGATTGTAAATTTTTGTTTTAAGTATAAACACATCAGTAATTTCACTCGTCTGTGAAAGTTTTGAAACCTACCCTTTGGACATCAAAAAGGTAATGGCGTTTTTGAACCAGTGCCTGCTGTGACTTCTCCATATCAATAGCATCCTGGATTTGTTTGATGGACGCCTGTTTCACCTCTTCCAGCTGGGCAACTTTTTGCTGCAATTATGATATTTACAACAAAGATCAGTTAAAGTATCAAGGGTAATAAAAAGATTTATTTTATACTTCTTCACTTGTGAAAACACCCACACATAAGGAGAACTGCACAAATTCTTAACAAGAGTTGCTCACAGTAGCTATGCAGTATCTTGCTGAATGAATAAAACTACGGAAAAGCTGGAGAAAGTCTGGTAACTTTTAAAAATTTATCTCAAATTAGTAACTATCATTTATAACTGAAAGCATTATAAACAGGTTCATTTTTATATGCTTTGTTCCTGTCACTTGATGGCTTTGATGCTTCTGCTGCTGCTGCTAAGTCACGTCAGTCGTGACCGACTCTGTGTGACCCCATAGACGGCAGCCCACCAGGCTCCTGTCCCTGGGATTCTCCAGGCAAGAATACTGGAGTGGGTTGCCATTTCCTTCTCCAATGCATGAAAGTGAAGAGTGAAAGTGAAGTTGCTCAGTCGTGTCCGACTCGTAGCGACCCCATGGACTGTAGCTTACCAGGCTGCTCCGTCCATGGGATTTCCCAGGCAAGAGTACTGGAGTGGGGTGCCATTGCCTTCTCCTTTGATGCTTCAAGTACTGTCTAAAATGGGAAGTAAGATTTATGGTTCTTACCTCATTGAGTTTATCAGCAAATTCCCCAACAGAGGCACCATATTTTTTAACCACGTAGGCAAGGAACCCTATTGTTGATATGGCAGAAAAAGTCTCTGGAGTTATCACATATATTTCTTTGGAGAGTAAATATAAGATAAGCCCGGTTCCAAGCACATAGGGTCCTAAAAGGAAGAAAAAGTTATTTTATGATAGACATGCTTTGCCTAAAAAGGGTAAAAGAGAGAGATATTTCTGCATTTAATTAGTTGAAGGCAAAGGTTTTTCTTCCTCCCTATTTTATTCTTTTTTAAAACTTTCTATTTTGTATTGGAGTATAGCCAATTAACGACATTGTAATAGTTTCAAGTGAACAGAGAAGGGAATCGGATATACACATACATGTATCCAGTTAAGCAAAGTTAATAATGATTTTAAATCATCAGATTCAAAGATCAAAGCCTAGATGAGAACCAGTAAGGTACAATTGAAAGGACAACAATCTGGACTTATGGAAATCTGACTTTGCAGTTTAGCAACACTGGACAATACAGATGATCTCTGAGCTTAGTTTCCTGAACTATAAAATGGGAATAGTACCTTCTTCATAGGATTGATGTAACTAAAAAACAATGTATATAGTGTCTAGTATAAATGCTTAACAAACAGGAAGTAGTTTATAAAAATGTCAAGTTACTTTGAGAATAATTTGTGTAGCAAAATATACTATCTATTAAGTGGGTATGTCTAATAAAAAGTACACTAAACTTGACTGGAGGACTCATGTTTAAGTACTACTCAGTCACTAAAGAGAGAATAAACCTCAGCAAGTTGTCTTCTAATTCTTCTGGGTAATAAAAATGTCTTCATAGAACTGTTATACAGATTAAATAAAGTGAAAGCATATTGTATTACAAAAATGAAAGAGTTCAGGACAGTTTAGGCCTTTTTAAGAGGAAAAAACTGAAAAAAAAAAAAAAGAAAAAACTGTTAAGTCCAGTCCAGTTCTTTTTTTTTTTCATAATCGCACACACAATTATACATATAATACATAGCCTCTATTGCCTTACCTGGCTTTATGTTTACCCATAGTTCTTTCCATCACTACCTGAAAGTGCATTTTATGGTTATTCTGTTTTTTTTTGGGCCACTCTACATGGCTTGAGGGATCTTAGTTCCCCAAAGAGGGACCAAACCTGGGCCCCTGCTGTGAAAGCACAAGTTCTAACCACCAGAGTGCCAAAAAATTCCCCAGTTACTCATTTCTTTATTGTCTATCCTACAAAAGAAAATATGTTCCATGATGGTAGGCACTTTAGTTCACCACTGTATGCCTGGAACAGTGCCTAGGATAGGGCAGGCATTCAATAAATTTGGTTTATCAACAGAGTCAATGCTACAAAATCAAGCTAAGATCCCCAACAAAATTACTCCAAAGACAGGTTAAAGCAATCAAATCAATTGTTACACTGAATCACTTCTGCACTTTACTTCTGAAAGCAGCTGATTTTTTTTTTTTTTTCTGGAGTATGTGGAAAAGATTAAGAAGCCACTAAAATTCGAGATTAACATAAACCAGAGCATCCAAACATACTATCAAACACTGGGCAAATGCTCACCTGTTACACCAGTTTTAGGATAAAGGAACTGGAAGAACTCCTCAGGGATGAGCCCAAAACGAACTTTTCCGCCATGTTCAGGAAGAGGTGGCACAGGGGCAAGACTTGGCTGCCCTGTGTGCAAGATCCTTGCTGCCTGCAATGCCCTACAGGTGGGAATTATACACATTTAAAGCCCATTCTTTAAAGAGAACACAGCATATGAACTATTGTAGAAAGAATGAACAGGGACGAGGATTAAGGTGGTTTCCCACTGTCCCAATGGAGAGAGAACAAACCAAGAACAGGAAGGCCAGGCTCTACTATTAGCTGTGACAAGGGGAAACAACTTACTTAAAGCTTTATGTAATCTTCTACCCAATACTAGAGTTCCTCTGTGAAATCTCATAGATCATTTGTCTAGCACCTTACACATCTATTACCAGCACTAAAATATGTAAGAACATAGACTCTGCAGCCAGACTATCTGGGTTCAAATTCTAATTTATGCCTTTGTAATCTGCGTCTCTAAATAAAGTAAAATAAAGAATATGACCTTAGAAGGTTGTTGTGAGGATTAACTGAGTTAAAAAATGTAAAGTACATTGCATGGTGCTTGGCATATGTTAAAGTTTTATGTAATGGTTAGTTACTATATGGCCACTGTGTTGTGAGCTCCCTGATGGCAAGAACTTTGATCTTTCTGAATACTCTGTGACAGGGTGCTAAACAGCCACTAAGTGAAACATGCTTTTGCAGTGTTGGATATCTCTATGTTCATCCTTTGAACTGCTACGTACATCCTTAAAACTTCTATTGATTAATTCTAATTTTATTCATTTCTTATGTAAAATAACACCCATGTATCTGGGTTAAACAAACATCTCAGTTCCTTCACAAACCTGATTGTTCATCACAAGCAGCAATCTGGTTTTCTTTAAAAAAAATGAACATGATACTCTAAGTATAGCTTGACCAATCCACTCATTCTACAAACACAAACTGAGAACTTGCTATTGCCATTACTGGGCTTTAACTACTGCACTGTTACATGAATTTGCAAATGATTCCTGTCTTAAAGTAACTTAAGATTGCATTTTAACAGTTACAGCATACTGGTGTCTTATTAAGATTCTGATGAAATAAAATCCTCCAGTCTTTTCGTATCTGCTGTCAGGTTTAGTCTCTTTCAAATTATCAGTATGATTTTGTTCCTCACCTCCCCATTCTCTCTCTCGTCTCCCTGCAATGTAAGAGTTTATATTATTTCACTGATTATGGTTCATTGCTTGTCTTCCAAATATTGTTGCTTCCCAATGTATTATGAGCTACCATACTGACTTTTGAAATCCTAGAGTCATGCTCGAGATTCATTAGGTAAATCAGGGTTTCTCAACCTCACCATTACTGACATTTTGGACAACTGACAATTCTTTGCTGTGGAAAGCTCTTCTGGGCACTGTAGTTAGCAGCATCATTTATACGTCAGGTGCCAGTAGCATCCCTCCTCCTACCCAGTGCTGACAACCAAACACATCTCTAGACATTGTCAGAAGTCCCCCGGAGAGCAAAACTGTCCCAGGTTGAGAACTGATTTAAATCACAGCACTAAAGAACGTGCTTTATTGTGAATTTTACCTTTTATCATTAACATATTCACCTTTTGTTTCATTTAAAAATAAATAATTTTTTAAAAAAAGAACTTGCTTTAGTTGGACACAAATCCTCTCCCTAACTGGCTGCCTCAGTTCAATCCCTTAGCTACTCTTGCCTAAGAAAGTTAATAATCAAAACCTGGTCTCTTGGCTTCTCCTCAAATACCCCTTCAACCTAGTCCCTCCCTGTTGCTTTTAAAGTTTTTAAAATACAAACGTGACTTTAAAACTCTCCAACAGGCTCTCTTCTGGCCATAGTAAACAAAGTACTTAATATAGTATACATGTTTCAGCACCTGTCAAGTTTTATTGCCTCCTCTTCCTTCATTCTCCTACTCTCCAGCCATATGCAACTACTTACAGCTTTCCCAGATGTTCAGATATTCAACCTTGTTTTAGAAAAGGCAGAGGAACCAGGGATCAAATCGCCAACATCCGTTGGATCATTGGAAAAGCAAGAGAGTTTCAGAAAAACATCTATTTCTGCTTTACTGACGATGACAAAGCCTTTGACTATGTGGATCACCACAAACTGTGGAATATTTTGAAGGAGACGGGAAAACCAGACCACCTGATCTGCCTCTTGAGAAACCTGTATGCAGGTCAGGAAGCAACAGTTAGATCTGGACATGGAACAACAGACTGCTTCCAAATCAGGAAAGAAGTACGTCAAGGCTGTATATTGTCACCCTGTTTATTTAACTTATATGCAGAGTACATCATGAGAAATGCTGGGCTGGATGAAGCACCAGCTGGAATCAAGATTGCCAGGAGAAATATCAATAACCTCAGATATGCAGATGATACCACCCTTATGGCAGAAAGTGAAGAACTAAAGAGCCTCTTGATGAAAGTGAAAGAGGAGAGTGAAAAAGTTGGTTTAAAGCTCAGCATTTAGAAAACTAAGATCATGGCATCTGGTCCCATCACTTCATGGGAAATAGATGGGGAAACAGTGGAAACAGTGGCTGACTTTACTTTGGGGGCTCCAAAATCACTGCAGATGGTGACTGCAACCATGAAATTAAGAGACACTCTTTGGAAGGAAAGTTATGACCAACCTAGACAGCATATTAAAAAGCAGAGACATTTCTTTGTCAACAAAGGTCTGTCTAGTCAAGGCTATGGTTTTTCCAGTAGTCTTGTATGGATGTGACAGTGGGACTATAAAGAAAGCTGAGCACCGAAGAATTGATGCTTTTGAACTGTGGTGTTGGAGAAGACTCTGAGAGTCCCTTGGACTGCAAGGAGATCCAACCAGTCCATCCTAAAGGAGACCAGTCCTGGGTGTTCATTGGAAGGACTGATGTTGAAGCTGAAACTCCAATAATTTGACCACCTGATGCAAAGAGTGGACTCATTTGAAAAGACCCTGATGCTGGGAAAAATTGAGGGTGGGAGGACAAGGGGACGAAAGAGGATGAGATGGTTGGATAGCATCACCGACTCAAGGGACATGAGTCTGAGTAAACTCTGGGAGTTGGTGATGGACAGGGAGGCCTGGCGTGATGCAGTCCATGGCAAAGAGTCGGACACGACTGAGCAACTGAACTCGTGGCTCAGATTGTAAAGAATCTGCCTGCAATGCAGGAGACCGAGGTTTGATCCCTGGGTCAGGAAGATCCCCTGAAGGAGGGCACAGCAACCAACTCCAGTATTCTTGCCTGGAGAATCCCATGGACAGAGCCTGGCAGGCTACAGTACGTGGGGTCGCAGAGTCAGACACGACTGAAGAGACTTAACATGCACAGTTTTCAAAATAAAAAAGACTGCCTCATGCTGTTTCTACTTGGTATGCTTTTCATTTAAGGACTGCCAAGACCAACCAGCCTTTAGAATATCTCAAGTGTATCCTTTACAAATGCTTCTCCAATTGTGGACCAACACTGATTCACTTAACAAAACACTTACAGACTCTCTACTTGTTAGGCACCAACAGTATAACAATAAGCAGTCTCAGCTTTAGATGTTCTAATGGGGGTTTGGAGTGTGTGAACGTATAGGTGCACACACAATTTCAGACAGCTGTAAATTCCACATAAATTAGGGAGGGAAATGGCTAAAGAGCAATGGGTGGAGGGGAGAGAGGCTTTTTTGGGAGAGATTAGGTGACATCTGAGCTAATGACCGGGAAAAGAGAGAAGGGCAAGTACAAAGATCCTGAGGCAACAATAAGCTTGGCAGTTTTTGAAAGAATGGCAAGAACGTCAGTATGGCTGAAAAATGAGCTAAAAACAGAAGGTAAGAAGATAAATCAGGAGGTAGGATGGGGTCAACTCATGTTGAACCTTCTTGGTTATTTTAAATTTGGTTTATTTCAAGTGGGACAGGCAGCTCTGGAGGGTTTTCAAAGGAAGGGTGGGGAAATGACATAATCCCTGTGACTCCTGTGAGAATGGCCTGTAATGGAGAAGAATATAGATTTAAGTCGACTAGTTAGGAGACAACTGAAATAGCCTAGATGGAACATGATGGTGGTTCACACTCCAGTAGTAGTGGTAGTGAGAGAAGTGGTCAGAGTCTGGATATAAGAAGAAAGAAGAGCCTTATGAATGCATTAGATATGAAATGTTAAAGAGAAATCAAGGATGTTCCTCACATCTTATGTATGTATTTATTACCTATACTACAAAGAGTTGTTTATGTGTCTATATGGAATCTTTCTACTTTGAGAAGTTGGAAGCAACCAATTAGTCTCACTTTATTTAACTACAGATAAACCAAAACCACCTTTTCAAGACACAGGACTGTTACCAAATTTTGCAAGATTTAGGATGAAGTCTGGAAGTAAAAAGAAATTCCAAAGAAAACTGACATGTTTTATGAAATAATATTAATAACAGGTTCTAACATTTACTAAGCACGTATTATGTACCAAGTACTGATTTTAGAGTTCCCAGGAATTATATCCCTTAATTCTCATAATCCATAATGTACTATTATCTTTATTTTGCAGGTGGAGAAATTAAGGTCCCACAGCTTGTTAAGCAGAGGAGCCAGGTTTACTCTCAGCTTTGGAGTCCTCATTGTAAACTACTCTATAGCTACCTCCTCTGCTGTGTGAAGGTAGGTACTTAACCATACTCATTTCTGTATCTTTGGTTATGGAGGGGCAAGATAAATATTTGCTGAAACACTGAAAAATTTCTCTGATCTGACAGTAAAGTTGGAATCTGGGAAACAGATTAAAAACTACATGTTTAACTTTTTTATTTAACAAAACTTGTCCTTGAGTGTGCAATCTAGTAATCCCGATTCAGGCTGCGGCAGCTCTGTCTAACTGAAGGTCACAAGGGAGAGGGGCGGGGCTTAGGAGACACCAAAACCAGTTTCTAAACAGTTTAGTTAGAACACATTACTTTTTCTCTTAACCTCTGCTATTAGATGATAGTGTTCCAGGCAGTTATAGGATCACGCGTGAATTAGACGTTAAGTGTTCCAATACAACCAAAATAAAGGTAATTACTGGCCTAAAGCTAAGAGGAGATTAACCTAGAAGTGAAATGAGGTGATAAAGCAAGGATGAAAGGAAATATTACATCCCTCATACTTACCCTGGACCGAGGAGGGCTGCGTTCTTCAGAGAGGGGGCTACAAAAATACAAGGCGCAGGTTAGCAAGGTCACAGTGAAATCTGATTTGCCCCTTCCTCGGCCCCACAGAGCTCAATCACTAAGGCCATGCGTTCCTCATTCCTACGCCCCAAGACCCCACACTCACCTTCTGAGCGGCGCTACTCACTCTCCACTCAGACCCGTCTCACTGCGCTTTTCTTCACGCCCTTTCCTCCCACCCGCTACAAGCAACCTCAGACGCCTTGTTTTACAATCACTCTGCTATTCCGGACCAGGGTGTGTACCTCTCACCTGCTGAGGCGGCGGCAGAAAGTACCACCCGGGACAGCATTCTCAGGTAGCGTCCACACAGCAATCTACCCGCCACAGTGACCCCGACAGGAGAATCTGTCAGGGACAGAAGCAAGATGGACGCTCACAAATCTCGCGAGAAGAGAACTTCGTGCCCTCTCTTTCAACTTCCGGTCTTTTTTCCCCCCCTCGCGATAAGAAGCAGAGTGCCGGTTGTAGGAGGGTGCTGGCGGGAAAGCCGACTGGAGTCTTAGAAGCAGATCTCGCGAGATGTAGGGAGGCTGTAGCTTGTCTAGAGGGGCGGAGGCCCAGTGAGGAACCACGTGGGGACTCCAGGAGCTGAATCTCAGGCGGGCATCCAGTTTGGGTCTAGATTGAAGTTGGAACCGTGGAGATGCGGAAGGAAACACCTACCCCCCTAGTGCCCCCGGCAGCCCGGGAGTGGAACCTTCCCCCTAATGCTCCCGCCTGTATGGAGCGGCAACTGGAGGCTGCGCGGTACCGGTCTGGTGAGCCTGGGTCCTAGGCCTGGGAGTTTCCTTACCCCACCCCGGAGTGCCCCTTCCCGGGAATAAACCTTCCAGGCCGCACCTCGATTCCCCGCTTGCCAGCCTGACCCCTGCTTCGCTTCGCTGAGTTCACCCAGCCATGCCCTGCGTTCCCGGCTCGGGTCCAGATCCAGCTAGATGGCTGCTGGGCGGTTACCAGGGAAACGAGCCCTTCCACTCCTCTTGCTGACATCTTGTATCTCCTTTAGATGGGGCGCTCCTGCTTGGGGCTTCTAGCCTGAGTGGCCGCTGCTGGGCTGGCTCTCTCTGGCTTTTCAAGGACCCTTGTGCCGCCCCCAACGAAGGTTTCTGCTCTGCTGGAGTCCAGACGGAAGCTGGAGTGGCTGACCTTACTTGGATAGGGGACCGAGGTATCCTAGTGGCTTCTGATTCAGGTGAGTCACTTGCTAGCTGTACAGGTGGAATGGAGGCTTGGGGTATAGGTCGGGCTAGGCTCAATTTTTAATGCCCCATGCTCGGTGGAGGGATTCCAGGTGAGCAGTTTCAAATCCTAAAAGATGATGCATTTAAAGTGCTGCACTCAGTATGCTGGCAGATTTGGAAAAGTCAGCAGTGGCCACAAGACTGGAAAAAGTCAGTTTTCATTCCAGTCCCAAAGAAGGGCAATGCCAAAGAATGTTCAGATTCACACGATTGCACTCATTTCACATGCTGGGAAGGTAATGCTCAAAATCCTCCAAGCTAGGCTTCAACAGTATGTGAACCCAGAACTTCAGACGGTCAAGCTGGATTTAGAAAAGACAGAGGAACCAGAGATCAAATTGTCAACATCCACTGGATCATAGAAAAAGCTCGAGAATTCCAGAAAAACATCTACTTCTGCTTCATTGACTATGCTAATGCCTTTGACTATGTGGATCACAGTAAACTGTGGAAAATTCTTAAAGAGATGGGAATATCAGACTACTTTAGCTGAGAAACCTGTATACGGATCAAGAAGCAACAGTTAGAACTGGATGTGGAAAATTAGAACTGGACAGGTTCCAAATTGGGAAAGGAGTATGTCAAGGCTGTATATTGTCACCCTGCTTATTTAACTTATATGCAGAGTACATCATGGGAAATACCAGGCTGGATGAAGCACAAGTGGGAATCAAAATTGCCAGGAGAGATATCAATAACTTCAGATATGCAGATGACACCACCCTTATGGCAGAAAGTGAAGAGGAACTGAAGAGCCTCTTGATGAAGGTGAAAGAGGAGAGTGAAAAAGCTGGCTTAAAACAACATTCAGAAAACTAAGATCATGGCATCCAGTCCCATCACTTCATGGCAAATAGATGGGGAAACAAAACAGTGGCAGACTTTATTTTCTTGGGCTTCCATTATACAGAGTGAAGTAAGCCAGAAAGATAAAGACCAATACAGTATACTAACACATATATATGGAATTTAAAAAGATGGTAATGATAACCCTATATGCAAAACAGAAAAAGAGACACAGATGTACAGAACAGACTTTGGGACTCTGTGGGAGAAGGCGAGGGTGGGATGTTCTGAGAGAACAGCATTGAAACAAGTATACTATCAAGGGTGAAACAGATCACCAGCTCAGGTTGGATGCATGAGGCAAGTGCTCAGGACTGGTGCACTGGGAAGACCCAGAGGGATGGAATGGGGAGGGAGGTGGGAGGGGGAATCGGGATGGGGAATACATGTAAATCATGGCTGATTCATGTCAATGTATGGCAAAAACCACTACAATATTGTAAAGTAATTAGCCTCCAACTAATAAAAATAAATGAAAAAATATATATATATTTTCTTGGGCTCCAAAATCACTGTGGATGGTGCCTGCAGCCATGAAATGAAAAGACACTTGCTCCTTGGAAGAAAAGCTGTGACAAACCTAGACAGCGTATTAAAAAGCAGAAACATCATTTTGCCCACAAAGGTCCATATAGTCAAAACTACATTTTTTTCGTTATGTATGGATGTGAGAGTTGGACCATAAAGCAGGCTGAGCACCAAAGAATTAATGCTTTGGAACTGCAGTGCTGGAGAAGATTCTTGAGAGATCAAACCAGTCAATCCAAAATGAAATCAACCCTGAATATTCTTTGGAAGGGCTAATGTTGAAGCTCCAGTACATTGGCCATCTGATGCAAAGAGCCAACTCATTGGAAAAGACCCTGATGCTGGGAAAAACTGAAGGCAGGAGGAGAAGGGGACAACAGAGGATGAGATGGTTGGATGGCATCACTGACTCGTCACTGGACATGAGTTTGAGCAAACTCAATGAGTTAGTGAAGGACAGGGAAGCCTGGCGTGCTGTAGCCCATGGGGTCACAGAGAGTTCGATGTGACTTAGAGACTGAACAACAGCAACAACATACTGTGTGCTTGGGGGAGCTTGAAGGTTTTGGTCCCAAAGGAGAATAACTGTGTAGGTAGGATATACCTGTCCCAAGATTCTAAATTGGTGGAAATTTCTAGCAAAATTCATAACAAAATTAGGACATGAATGAAACTGTTTTTCTCTGTATCCACCCAAGATCAAGGATGATGTTGATCTTAAAGATGATGCTGAAACCAATCTGTGCTCTTTGCATCTCTTCCCAGTTTCTTATGTATCTTCATTCTGCTTTCTTTGTTTTGAATGTCAGACTTAGCAGTGGAGGCTTTCATGTTAAAAAAAAAAAAGAATAGAGGTGTTGGCAGGCATTGCATGGAAGGATAAAGGTGGGACAATTAACGTCCAAATAACTGGGAATATTTACTCATACTAAACTGTGCTTTTCATATCATTGTGGAGATGTCATCCTTACCTCTGGAGAACTTAGCATCCTAGAAGTGAAGTGCTGTGTTAGTGTAACCCCAGCTTGTTTCCTTCACTGTCTTCCCCACTCCCAACAGGTGCTGTTGAATTGTGGGAGCTGGATGAGAATGAGACGCTCATTGTCAGCAAATTCTGCAAGTATGAGCACGATGACATCGTGTCTACAGTCAGTGTCCTGAGTTCTGGCACACATGCTGTCAGTGGTAGCAAAGACTTCTGGTGGGTCCCCGCTCTCATTCTTCTTGTTTCTGGGCCTTCTTTGGGTGTCTTTAGTGTCACATTAGCCTCATTAAGTAATGTTTTGGGCTCATTATAAGAACCCAGTGACTAATTATGGCATACCTATAAGGTTTCTTATAAGGTTTTCTTAGAGATTTTGCAGACCATTGTAAAAGTAGACTGTACCAGAAGTTCAGTAGATGACAAAGTTGTAAGAATACATGTTTGAATACATGTTTTTATATATATAGTGTAGGTCAAATTAAGTCTGTTTCTTTTTGCTTCTTAGCATCAAGGTTTGGGATCTTGCTCAGCAGATGGTTCTGAATTCATACCGAGGTGAGTGCATCTTCTTTCCTTTTTAGTCCCTGTCTTAGTTATTTTGTTTTTATTCTCTCCTTTGTGCTCTTTTAACTTTCCTTGGATGTCAGTGACACCAATTCTTTGCTCTCCTGCCTGGTAGTTTTCTTCCAAAACTATGGTCAAGTCCCAATGTTGACTCTAGCTCTTAATCTCCCTGTATTTTTATAATTGACAGGCTCATCACCTTCTTGATCACCTGAGGCTCAAACTCCCTGTCCTCTTCCACTCCTCCTTTTTCCTTCTGTCAGTTGGTCTCCAAGTTCTCTGGAATTTTTTTCCATTTGGTCAGTGACCTTCCTTTTCATTTCTTAATGCTCCCATTTACATTCAGTCTTTATCTCACCTACACCATGGCACTCATTTCATCTCATGACCCGTCATCTTTGGTCTTTCATTGCTTTCTTGTAGCTTGCAGGTTAATATCTCAGGTTCATGTCATGGCATTCAAGCCTTTTTACTGTCATTCCTCCTTCAAGCATATCGTGCTATCTAAACCCAGTCATAGTACATCTTAGGCATTCTCCAAGTATAAACTCTTGATACTCATGAATCTCGAACTTTTTGAGTATTCCCCTCCATAAAATCTTGTTTTTGCAGGGTGAGAGCCATCATTTTCTATTAACATTCCCCTTTTTGCTCACTTTCATTAACAGCACTAGCAGTTAACTTTGTTTTGGGAGCCATTCTTAGATACCAGATCTTAATGCAGATAATGTATAGAGCATTAATGTATATGTAACTGAAAGACGTAGATTTAGGTGATAACTGGTTCCCTCACTGTGTATCTCTGCCAATTCTAACTTCAAAGTGTATGATTCAGATACGTGCAAAGCAAAACCACAAACTCACACATCTTCTGGAGTTTCAGATAGTTAGACAATAATGTTAAAATGCCAGTGTTCAAAGTCTACTATATTAGCCTTTTGTTTCCTAGACATATGATATGTTTTCTGGCCAATGCTAAATAAGCACTTGCCCCTTTTGGCCTTTTTCATTCTTTTTTTTTTTAAATTTAAATTAAAAAAAATTGAAATATAGTTGATTTACAATGTTGTGACAGTTCTTTGTGTTTATTCTTATTCCCCCCACTGATTTCAAATTCCCTAAAGACAGAGGCAGCACGTAGTTTTTCATCTTTCGTCCTCCACCATGGTGCTTGCCCCAAAGCTTTTTTTCAAGTGAGCAGTACGTTCCTGTTCATAATGTTGGCTTTCCGTGGATTCTATTGAAGGTGGCTTGAACCCACCCTTCTATCTCAAGGCAGAGCCACATCTATCTTAGAATATGGTTAAATCACTTTGGAGAAGGTGGTTTCCACAGCTTGTAATTAACATTTAGAGTTAATTTAACGTTAAGTTAGTTTAACATTCTTAGCCTGCAGCCCTAAAAGAATTTTGAAAAGCTGTACCCTTTCACATGTTTTTAAATTAGTACCTAAATACTTGTGTTTGTGGTGTGGCCAAGAAAGTTCAGCCTCCTTCACAGAATTTTACCCAGATGCTCTTTCTTTTATTCTTTGGCTCTTACAAAACCCCCCTTTTGTTTTATTATTTAGGTTTTTTACTCCGAACATCACACCATGATAAAGTTTGGGGTGGAGGAGAGGTGTGTGTTTCTTCTACACATGGGAGAAGGATGACTATGAGAGTCGAGGTCTGCAGTGCTGGCAGACCACAGGCAGCTTCTTAGTTTGGTATGGAGAGGAAACATTGGAGAAATTCCCTTAAACCTTCAAGTGTCCAGGACTTCCTTGAAAGTCTTTGTATGCTACTTGGAGGCATGTGTGCTTGTGCTGTTCTAGGCTGTCTTTACTGTAAATTCCTCCACCAATCAGACTCAGCCTTTATCATTCATGTCTTTCAGTTCCATTCAGTTCAGTCGCTCAGTCGTGTCCGACTCTGTGACCCCATGGACTTCAGTATGCTAGGCTTCCCTGTCTATCACGAACTCCCAGAGCTTACTCAAACTCATGTCTTTAGCCATTCATTTTCTTGCAAGTCTACTGAGGTTTTATAATGCTATCAACATTTCCTCTTAGGTTTTGTCTTTGTTCATTTGCGTCATAAGACTAGCTAGGGCTAGTTCTCACACCCTCCCTCCTACCCCTTGATAGTATCTGGGCTTCTTGATAAGATCGCTTTCGTCTCAGTATGAAGTACTGTCATACTTCTTGTTCTCTCTCCTCTGCAGCTCACTCTGGGCAGGTCACCTGTGTTGCTGCCTCTCCCCATAAGGATTCTGTGTTTCTTTCATGTGGTGAGGTAAGATATAGCCACTTTCCCCCTTCCCACCCCCTGACCACACCCAAACCCTTTAGACTTAAGTCTAGCATGGACGGCTTCTGGTCAGCAGCTGTTTTTGGATTGTGAAGCCCTTTTTCTATTCCTTCTTCTAGGACAGTAGAATTTTACTGTGGGATACCCGCTGTCCAAAGCCAGCATCACAGATGGGTGAGTCTGAGAGCTGGTGGTGGGATGATGGTGCTAGGAACCCACCTGGAAGAGTCTTTCCTTGGCCAGAGTCAAAGGCAAAGCTACCAGATGCCCAGTCACTGACATGAATGATCCAATTGCTTTCTTTCCCGCTGAGGTTCATGTGGTGCAGTGGGTCCCAAGAGGAAGGGCTAGTTCCTGAGGGTGGGGGTAATTTATATTTCCTGGATGGGCGAATAAAGGGGCCAGAGTTGTCAACTTCATGCTTTATGTTGAAACTTGCCTGTGACTCGGGTCTGGAAAGAGCAGGAGGCTGATAGGTAGATGTAGGTTATGAGGGTTAAGAGTGAGGATGGGACTGTCTCAGCAGGTCTTGGGAAACTGAATAAAAGTGCTCCTGAGACTTAGAGTGACTTCACCACTGAAGCTTCTTCTCGGAGGTGAGGTCAGAGTCTTGTTCCATACTCCTCTTCTCTCCTTTATAGGCTGCGGTGCCTCTGGCTACCTTCCTACCTCCCTGACTTGGCATCCTCAGCAGAGTGAAGTCTTTGTCTTTGGTAAGGCAGCATGTCCAAGTGTGTGTTGACTCTGGGAATGGGAGAATAAGCAAGAAAGCTCACTCCATAGTAAACGAGGCTGTGGCTGCTCAGTCTATCCGAACACTTGAGCACTTAGTGAATTATGCTAATGGGGGTGTGCAGAGGTAGGATGATCCAGAAGTAGTTTTAGTTTAGCTTTGAAGAACATGATAATTTTTGTCCTAGTAGATTTGATTCCTCACTGTTTGCTGTGGCTCTTACATTCATGGCTAGAAGTCAGTGGGCCACAAAGCCAGAGGATTGCTACATAGGGAATCCTATTGTATAGTAGGGAATAGCTGTGCTAACATGGTGATCTGGTTGTGTATACTGTGACGTAGTTTGTAGTTAACACAACAGTTATCTCATCCAACAGTTTTAATTTTCACAACCCTCAAGTGATTGACTATTCCTACTTTACCGAAGAGAAAATGGATGCTCAGAATGTTTAACTTCTTCAAGATTGAAGAACCAGCATTCAAATCCAGATCTGGCTGAGTCCAAAGCCCATTCTCTTAACCCCCTTGACACACTCCCTCTTCCTTCAGGTGATGAGAACGGGACTGTCTCGCTTGTGGACACCAAGAGTGCACGCTGTGCCCTCAGCTCCGTCGTGCACTCCCAATGTGTCACTGGGCTGGCGTTCTCCCCACACAGGTACTGCCCTTTGTCATCAAGGGCCTGGGAGATGTGAAAGGAAGAGTGATGGAGAGTACTTGTGTTGGCTTAGCATTAGCTGATTGGGTGGCTCCTTAAACAGGCACTCTTTTAGTTCAAGACCTTAATAAGTGAAAGATCTCTTAAGACTGTAGTCCATTTTTTGGGTTGTATGGTCTCTGACTGTAAATGGCTAAAACATGGTCTTGTTCCTGCTCAACACCCCAAATGACTGATACTATGGGCTTCCAGGGCTGTGTGGTTGGAAATCCTGTGTTTCTGGGTTATTGCTGAAGCTACAGGGAGGGACCAGATGGGATGGTTAGTTGCAAGGATGGCTGTCAGCCCTAGCTTTGCTCCGTTTTCCTCATCTTCCCTTGGAACTTGTACTGTAGACTTGAGTGCTAGACAGGCTTTAAACCAAAGTGGGGATCAAGCTACCTTCTCTGGTGACTTTAGAGTGGGGTTTGGGGACTGCCCAGTCAGATTGTGTCCTGATACCTATGGACTTACCTTTCGCAACCTTCTCCTTCTCTCCTAGTGCTCCCTTCCTGGCCTCTGTCAGTGAGGACTGCTCACTTGCTGTGCTGGACTCAGGCCTTTCCGAGGTGTAAGTGTGACATGGACCCTGTGATCAGAAGTCATGGAGGGAACAGCAGATGGCTGGGTCTTTTTACCCTTTGGAAAAGCATGTTGTCTCTTTCAGGGAGACTTGGTGATGGAAGCAGGCTAGCTGTTGACTGTCTTCCTGTTCCAGGGACTGACTCCCAAGCTCTGTGCCTGGTAGAGGAATGTGGTGTTGGGTGGGATTCCGGAGCCTGGCATTCCAGTGATCTTTCAGAAAGGGGCACTGTGTGCTTTTTGCACAAAGTGCCATGTGTAGGAATGCAGCCTGCTATAGGATAAAAGGCCCCAGACACAAGATCTGAGGGTACTGCCTTCTTTGCCACGAGATGCCGTCTGACCCTGACTCACATCATAACCCTTGCTCTAGCTGTCATTTCTTCTATGAAAATAGGGCACTGGATTGAATGGTGGAGTCTTCTTTGCGTGGCTACACTGCTGGCCTGATGACTAGGTCATATATATGGTGAAGTGGGGTGTCTTTCCATTTCTTCTATTTCCTTCTGTCTCTTACAAGCCCACACTTTTCTTTGTTCTCTTGTAGGTTTAGAAGCCGAGCCCACAGAGACTTTGTGAGAGATGCTACTTGGTCCCCACTCAATCACTCCCTTCTTACAACAGTGGGCTGGGACCATCAGGTCATCCACCATATCCTGCCCACAGAACCTCTCCCAGAGCCTGGACCTAAGAGTGCTTCCGAGTAGATTGGATTTCAGACAAGAAGTGAATCACCCCCTGAGTATCCACGCCCTTTGCCCCTGCCCTCTCTCAATTTCTGAGAGCACACAGGAGCCTTCTGCAGTATGTTGGTATACCACATGTGTGCAGTTAAAAGGCGCTTTGTCTCAGCCTGGGGAGGCTGGATCCTGGGGTCCTGTAGTCAGGGAAGAAAAACTCCCTTGAACGTGGATATGTGTGTGTCTGAGTGTGTGTGTAGATACATAGTTTTTGTAAGTGGGGGGAGGGAGAAAAATATCCATCCCGCGTCTTTCCCAGAGCCCAATCCTCCCCACGCCCTAAAAATTAGCAAGGGATTTTTTATGCTTCCCATTGTAGCTGTGCATTAGGAATTGGCCATGTCTGAATGAGGTATGGGATGTGGGCATTCCTGGATTCTCAGAAGCTGCTCAAAGAGATAGGAGCAACTTTTATTTTTTTATAGAGCTTAATTCAACTTTATCATGAGCAGTACTTCCATTTACATCCAGTCCAGCCCACCTTGAGGAAGAGCCAGGACACTCATCACAGTTTTGTGCATCTCCTTGTTATTATACTGAGCCAGAAGTCCAGTTTCTGGCTGAATGAGAAGTTTGGCTGGTACCTGTGTAATGTCCCCTCACTACCGCCACCCCCGTGGAGTTGTGTGGATGAGGACAGATGTATTTCTGTCATAGATGCCATAGAAGAGGTTCAGGGTGGAGAGCTTAAAAGCAGTTCAGTTAAAAACTGACATAGGCCTACATAGGAATGTTTGCCACCATCCCACCTGAAAACAGCTGGGGGCCTGATCGTTTTTGCCTCTGGGTCCCTATCTCTGGACATAGGAAACCTGAATGCTATTTTAGGCACTCTGAAGAGTGTAAATACAGCATCAGAGAGAGAAGTACTGGTCAGTGAAATAAAATTTGATTCATCGTTGGCTTGTCTTTTGAAGCATGTGTGTGATGTGCAGTTAGACATGTCACTTACGTGAGTCATCAAGGTGTCTGTCTTAAAGCCTGTTACTCTTGTGTGTGCTTCCCCAGCCCCTCAGAGTAGCTAGTTGAAACTTAAGGTAAATATTTGTTTACTGTATTGGTGGCTGCTGCCACTTAGAAGTTATAGATCAATTACTGATTGTATTGAAACTAAATTAAATCAATTATGTACTTTTGTGCTCTGCAAGTTTTGTTTAGCTAAAATCTCATGAAACTGGGATAGTTTTATGGGTGAAGTATTTGTAAGTAAAGCTGCTGTGTTTCATCCTTGCTGAGCATGAGCTCTGTTCTCACAATTACCCTCAAGTAAAAACATGGGACTTTGTTATTAGATGGTCTACCTATTGGGTTTGAGGAGAGGTGAGAATGAAGCCTTCACTGTTCTTCCATGTGACTTTAGAGAGGTAATAGGGTGTGTTGATAGAAACTCTTTAAGTTCTTCCTGGAGATAAAAGCTTAAAATTTGTAATCTCTTAGAGTGAGGTAGGTAGGAATTAAATTTGCATAGACCTGTTCCTCATGGACTTCAAATAATGGAGAGAAAACTCAGTGAAAGAGATAATCCAGGGAAATGAATGTATTGTGTCAAGGTGGTTAAAATAACACCAAAGGAGAAAACCTAGAGTTTGAAGAACCACATTACTTAATGTAAAATTTCCTAGGATTCAGATAAACCTGTGCTGATGAGAGTGATTCCATCCATGATCATCACCAAGACATTTGCAAATGTAATCAAAGTCATGTTAGAAATGATCGTCACAGTTTTGGTTGACTGTGTCTACTATGGTGAGAAAAAAGATTGTTCAAGATAGAAGGTGACCTGAGAATAATCAGAAATGTACTATCACATCTGTGGGGTTATTCACTAGTCTTTTACTTGAGAATAGTTTCAGTAGCAGGAGCACAGATTTGCTGATAACAGGTGGGAATAGGCTCATTTTGTTTTGTTTAAAACCACACAAGCATCTATTTTGTGTTTAATTTCACTGGTTCACATGTCTGAACACCTGCAGTAAGTCTGTCTCCCTGTTTTCATTGTCCTCACTCTGAAGGCCACTAACCTGGCCGACCGTACACCACTGCTGATTTCTGGTGCTCAGAACAACAGACACAGGTTGGCTCAAGTACTGTTTCAGGTAGCCCCAGACATCAGGTTCATTCTCCAGGATCGGTCCTGCTCCACAAGACAGTAGGAGGCTGGGCTTTAATTATTAGCTCTGTAGGCATTACCTGCTGATTCACAGTCTCACTGAGGCAGCAGAATCCCCCAAGCCCTGACTGGGCTTCCAGCCACATGTCCTCTGGGCAGTGTGGTAGGGCACAAGATTGGGAGAGTGAGAGTGGGAAGATGTATATAGTTACTTTTCACTCACTCAGTTACAGAGGGCTTTAAAACTTCCTTGCCACATCTAGACCTAAAAATGGGCTCTGAGTTTTTAAAAGGCAGATTTGTGGCATTTGGACAGCATAAGCAATATTAGTATTTCCATGGTTGCTTGACTTGTATCTACAAACTAAAAGAGTAGGGAAAGAAAAAGAAAAGCTCATTCCAAACTCTTATGTAGGCATTTCTTTTAGTAAGATATACACCAAATATTTGTATGCAGTCTAGGGAAGTTTTAGGGTATCTAAGGAGAGCCAACATAGGTGAAAAGCTGTAAGAATTCATATCAAATTGCTGTTTATAGCAAGTTTCTTACTGCCAACATCGGTCACACTGAACTTTAGAATCACTTGTGCAGGGAACTGATTTTGTTCCCCAAAAGGGTAAGGAAGCTCTAATCGGATTTTTGAGGTGAGTAAAGTTTCTGACAAGCATCAGCACTCTGTATAGCTTGATTTTGGAAGAGTAAGCGGACCAGTTTTGAACCCCAACGTTTCTTTACTGAGTTCTCTATCTCAAATAGATAGTTGCAGAGTTTTTCATCTTCATTATGTGGTTATAGAACTCATAATATCCAGAGAGTAAAGGAGGTGCAGAGATAAGGACAGGAAATGTTAACTCATTTTAAGTTACAGAGGCATTTAAGGTACAATTGCTGATCCTAAAATCTGTATCATGTGGAGTAAGGTTTACTGTAGTCCTCAATGTATTCTGAAAACTCTGCTTGTCTTGTAGATGATCTGCTGCTTTAGTATATAATAGATCATCAAAATTTGAAAGGTCAGTAATAAACATCATCCTTTTAACTCTGGTGCAAACTTAGCTGGCACTGCTGGGTGAGAGTTCCTTCAGTGAATGTAGATGTTTCATTATCACTGTGATGTTGGGTGTCAGATGCTGGTATACTTCACTTTGGGAGGAACCACGTTATATGCCTTAAGAGCTTCAGTTTCAAGCTAAAATGTTCCCATTCCAATAGTAACCCTTATCTGGGATCTTAGGTGAAAGGAATGAAGCTTGTTTGAATCAGAAAATGTGCTTTACATGTACAAGCTAAATCCCCTTCAAGCTCTGCAGATTTTTAACAAGCAACTTATGTCTCACAGAAGCCCTCTGATTAGGTCAGAAACTGCCTGATATTCAGGCCCCTGACTACTATCCAATGTCAGCTTGCCTGGCAGGGTTTGCATTAATGCCACCCTTGACTTTGGCACCAGGAGGCGCAGCCTCTTGTGCCCAATGCCAACCCTGGGCCCCTGTTGCAGACTCCACTTGGCAAGGTCAATGTGTGCCTTTTTGTTTTCTCTCAGTTGTTTTTTGAACAACATTATGGTAAAATACAAAATTTTAAGTATATAATTCACTGGCATTAAGTACATTTATGTTGTGCAACCACCATCCCTCATCCCAAATTGAAACTTTGTATCCATTAAACTCTTCTCCCAGACCTTGGCAACTACCCTTCTACTTTCCTGTCCATGAATTTGACTGTTCTGGGTACTTCATATGAGTGGAATTATACAGTGTTTTTCCTATGTGTCTTATTTGATTTGCTAAGGTGTTGCCTTACTCCTCAAAATGTCCGTGGACCAAGCAGCGTTGGCATCATCTGAAACTTGTTAGAAGGACCAAACATTCAGACCACTAAAATCAGAGTTTATATTTTCACAACTTCCCCAGTGACTCCTGCGTGTTAAAGTTGGAGAAGGACCAACTTCGATTATGATCCACTGAGAATTTTAGATGGTCAGGAACCAGGCAGAGAAGTCACCAGCGATATAAGAGAGAACAGTTTCGTGTGTCAAGCTTTTGGGCATTGTGATGTGTGGAAGTGAGCAAGATAGACATGGTCAGCCCAGCCTCCAGCAGCTAAGTCTAGAGAGAAAGAGACAGGGTGGAATTAGTGTTTTAGTGTTAGCCAAAAATAAAAAAAGAAGACTGCCGGAAAACAGAGATTGTAGCCAGTCATGAAGAAGTGGTAAATCTTCCCTGATGAAGTGACATTTGGATTGAGTCCTAAAGGCTGAGTGTGGAGTTGCTGTTGCTTGGGGCTGGGGAAGAATTCCAGATGTGTGAGTCTTGCTGTGGAAGGAGCTTGGAGTTCCCTAGAGAAAGAGGTATTGCAACCAGGGTTAAATGGAGGTGGAGGGTACAGGATAAAGTATGAGGCCAGTTGCCACTGGATGGTGGGTGCTGTGAGCCATGCTGAGGATCTCAAAGCAGTAACATGTTGGAAGTGCTTTTGAAATGGATTCCATTGCTGTGCTTCGTGGAGGGGAGGCTATGGAAGCTTAAAGGTGACGAGGTTTTTATGTTTTGTTTTGTTTTTTTCTTTGATCTCAGCCACTAGGGTGTAGGCAGCTGAACTAGACTTGGCCATTTGGCTATTCCCATCTGGAACTTAAATCTGGAGGCAGAACTGCAAAGATTTAAAGAATGGTTATCTGACAATAACGAGGACAACTCAGTGGCAGCAGCACCAAAGCCAGCAGTGGAACTTCCTAACCAGACTTCCCATGGCAGGACTCTGGCAACGTTTGTGTTTTTTGTTTGTTTGTTTTTTCAAGTTGAAGGATAATTGCTTTACAGAATTTTGTTGTTTTCTGCCAAATTGTTGTTGTTG